TTTCACCAAGATTTGCACTTTTTAGGTGGTGGATGCTGAGGTGGACTCCAGCCACCCTTCCAAATCCGGACGCCACGTGGGCGCCCATGCTAGCCAGAGACTCGGCTATTAGAGCTGAGACTCCACCATGCAACACCTCAAAAGGGTTGCAACATTTTTTGGCCACCAGAAAGTAACCGAAGATTTTCTGAAGGGAGATGTCTGAAATTTCAAAACCAATAACATGAAGTGGTGCATCTAAAATCTCTTTCATTGAAATTGATTTTGTTGATAGCTCCATTTTTTTTTCTCTTTTTATCCTTTTTTTTTTTTGCTTCCTTTAATTTTCTCTTGAATTCTTGAACCAAAAATGAGTTTATATAGAAATTTATTTATTGGGTTTTTTGGATTTGTTTTCTACTTTTACAAAAAAAAAAAGAGGATAAAAGGAGATTTTTTTTTAATAATTAAGGAACTAGATTGATGATGTAATTATGTTTTTGTTTTGTGGTTGGTACCATTTTTTTTTAAGATAATAATGTCTGAGTCAGTTTACACGTGTATATTTTATTACTTCTTTTCTGAAAAAATGGATAAAGATAGAATAAAAGGATAAGAATACATATTATTTTATTTTACTAGTCAACTTTAGCAAATTAAGAAAATTAATCTCATGTGTTTATCCTTTTTATTATTATGTAACCATTGTCCAAACTAATTGAAGTATTATTTGTCGATGGATAATAGATAGCATGTGAACATTTTTATACGATTTTGTTAATTTTGAGAGACGAAAGAAATTAGATTAACAGAAAAGTTAAATAATTATCGATTCAAAAATATATCATGTCCTTTTTATCTGTAATATAATAAATTTTTAAAAAAATTCAAAAATCAAGACAAAGTGGAGGCCGATCGATTTAAATTGTTAGATTATCATTAATAAAATAAATACTTAATTATTATTTTTCTAAAAAAATGTAAAATAAAAACGAATATATACTATGATGATTATGATAATGTAAAATTGTAGTACATATTTTGCTTGGTGGTTGGTCACTTTTAGGTGATACATTTAAAGTTCCTAAAAATAGAATATTAACTTATGCAATCAGAGCATATATATATATAGTCACACATTTATTTCTTTTCCTGATTTATCAATTCATCATATTTAATAAAAAGCTATTAAATTCTAGTGGAAAAAGTTGCTTACGTTATCAATATATAAAAATTGAACTCTAATTTTTTTTGGTCGGTGTAATTAAACTTTGATAATGTATACGTAATCTTATTCCTTTCTTGTGAAGGTTAGGATTTCTCCGATAGATTATTGGCTCAGCTCTCAAGTAAACTAGGTAAATAACATTTATAGGCATATTGTTATTCTATTTTAAATCAATGGCAGAGTCGATATTCTTGTTAAAATAATTCAAAATGTAAAGAAGTAAAAACACGAAGAATTCGATAAGACAATATTTATTATATATATGCATTTAAGAGACAATATATATATACTAAAAAATAACATTAAACATACGAGTCTCGAAGTTTTCATCGAAGGGGGTTCGAAATCGGATTGCACTCATTAACTCATGTGGTTCCGCCCTTGTATCTAATAGGTTTATCTCAAAATATATTTATTTGTAGTTATTTTTTAATCGACACGATTGTGTAAATTACTTTTTCGTGATAGATTCATAGAACTTAGCTCCGTGTCTCAGGGATTATGCCTCGCCCCATACCATATAAACCGCCTCGCCTCACGCCCTGCCTTTTAAAACACTGGTGATAAATATTGTTCAATATTTCTTTTTGGTTTCTAAATACTCTATTTATTAATACCCACTTTAAAATCCAATTAATTCAAATATCCCACCGCAATTCTTGGTGGTGGCATCATTTAATGTCTTAGAAAGTTAAGCTTTAACATTAAATCATGCATTTTTCAAGTTGTAACTGACTTTAAACTTATCCACTAATCCAAAGACTTTCTTACCATTAAAACCTCATTAAAGTAATACTAGATAAATTAATAAGCTCTTTAAGATACACCCTATGTCCCTAATTACTTATCCAGTTTTGAATTGACACATCTATTAAAAAAATAATTAATGATATAGTTAGTTTATCATTTTACCCCTATTAATTATGAAGTGGATGAAAAGTTCTACATTTTTCAAAATAATTAGTCCTTTAATTGAGGGTATAATAGGTAAAAATAATTTGTCTTTTCTTGATTTGTCAAAATGGACAAGTAATTAGGAACAACTATAAAAGGAAAAGTGGACAAGTAATTAGGGACAGAGGGAGTAATATTTTCTTTAGGTCCCAATTCGGGTCAATGGAGAAAATCATCAATTTCGATAAGATAATATATTTTCAGTAGAGCTTTGTATACACACACACATATATATAGTCTCGTTAATATTTATAAATTAATATTAATCCTTTTAAAGTACAAATATGTCTAAGAAAATTTAGTGAAATATGATTCTATTTTTTTTATTTTTTTTTTGAAAAAATTTAAATCTAGTTGAAACTCATCTCTAACTTTTCTTATTGCATCTAAAAGTTCCGGTGTTGTCTTTTCAAACTGCACCATAAAATTTTGACTAGAGTTTTAGATGCTAAGTGTTTCCTTATGCGTAATTGGTTCCAAAGGTATCGTATCAAATTCAATTTCACCATCAACATTGTTTTTTCCGATAGTATCCACAATTTCTTCTAAGCTATGAACCTATGAACATGTAACATTGTTCTAAATATGATATGTGTTTTTCGAACTGCATCATAAACTTATTTTTATGTAAATTTAATAAATATGATACATAAATTAGTAAGATGCAATGATTTTGATGTAATCAAAATTAATATTCATTGAATCTCAAAACACTCTTTAAATTAATAAGTATTAATTTATCGATTAAATAATACCTCTACAATAATAATATTTCACGATCCCACCTATATTAATTTAGTGAGATTTTACTATATAATAGTATATAAAGTTCACGTCAAAAACATATTTAAAATATCTATTTTTTGTTTCATGAATTTTATATATCTAACCCATCACTTTCTTTGTATTAATACACACCTTGTTAATGAGTTGATCAAATATTTACTTCCAATCAATACCACACGTGTAAGACCAACTCCAACATCAAGGTATGTGAGGTTTGCGAGTTTTTTCGTAATCATTCATTGTTCTCTTTATCTATTTATACTATCACTCTCTTTATATTAAAACATATCTCAATAATAAGTTGGTTATATATTTGTTTCCATTGTCTATGTGTAAATCAATTCAGCGTCAAAGTATATTTCAAACCATGAAAGAGATAAAGTTGAAATATAAAACTCAAAGAAAATGTGATAACTTAATTTAGATAGGTAAATAAAGATTTTTCCTTGAAAAGAGGCAATCTGATAATTAACTCTTTTTTTTGTCAACTAACATTCTTGACAAAAGAACCAAGTAAAACTGTTACAAAAAATTTATAAAAATGAATAATACTAGTACATTGACTATCTACTGCACTTAAATGCAGGATTGCTATAAGAATGTCAGGAACAAATAATTAAAGTTTGGTTTGAATTTAAGTTATGATGAGGTAAATTATGACGGAATTAGTTATGATGGGATAAATTATGATAAGATTATTTTTTATTAAGTGTTTGGTTTGTTGTATTCAAAATAATAAATATAGGAATAATTTATTTCTTTACAAAAATGCCCTTCATGAATTTAAAAAGTGATTTATAAAAAGGATTTAAAGAGACATTCATTTACTTATTTTATCCCGGGATAACCCAGGGGAGGAATAACTTATCCCAGTCCTAATTATTAATCCTGAGATAAGTTATCTAGGACATGCCAACCAAACAACAAATTAAGTGGCACTATAATTTAATTTCAGAACTATTTGATATTATCTTTCACGCCAAGTTAAAGAATAGATGGAAAATATCCATTCTTCATACTTCGATATAAAATTTATTATTTTATACCGAAGAGATTTAAAAAGATTATTTTATTTTATTTAAATTATAAGAGCACACGAGATCTTATTATCTTGTTGTTGTTGTTGCCTATGATATTGTATTCTTAGTAGTTACTATTACTTAAAATTCATTGTATTGTAGTGTTAAATATTTAGTTATGACTTATGTAGACAAAGAGTCCAATTTTACGTAATCATTTTGGAGTTGTTCCATAGTTATTTCATTTTTTCCACATTTTGTTTTTTTCTTATAATACTCTTTGTTTCAATCTGTTTGTCTTATTTTTTTATTAATTTATTTTAAAAAAATGTAGGGTTTCTGTTTTATCAACTCTTTAATATCAATTTTTCATATGACATATTTAAAACCACAAAATTAAAAGATATCTTAGTATATTTGACATATTTTTAATTAAAAAATTACATTACACTCTACTTTGAATCTTACTTTTCGAATCGATATATTCTTCAACGTTCAAATTGTTCATGGTGCAATCATCTTAATTAAAAAATTGCGATCTATATATAAAATTTAAATTATTTTAAAAAATATATATTTATAGTAGATGTTAAATTCCTTTTATTTTTTCATATTCTGATTCCGCTACAGATTGCGACTTTGCTAGTTGGATCGAGACACGATGATGTGACACACACAACCCCTGTCTATATGACATAACAAAAATTATTGTTTCACTTTATTTGGCACTATTTCATTGAAATAGAACAATATCGATTCATACATACGAAACAATGGAATGTAAAATATGGATACAATAAGGGAAAAGATCATATAGTTCTCCACTGAGACACTCTCTCAACGGATCCTCTGCATGCTGGGGAATGGGGAATAGAAAAACAGGGGAAGTCCCGGCCCAGGGGGAGCTTTGTTTATTTAAGAGAGAATGGGGAGTGAATCGAACTACGATTCTTTCATGTATTGAGGCATTAATTCACAAACTAAAATGGCACAGGAGGAGAAGGCAACAAAATTCAGCTCATAAGAAGTGCAACATGCTGCTACACGAGATACCTTTAATGTGTCATTCCAACTTGTTCAGGAAGGGCTAAAAAATTTCAGCCAGTATACATTTCAAACCGATTCTGGCATAGCGTAACATTTCGTGTCAATTCTCAGTAGAGAAAGCAATAAAGTTCAAGGGTGTAAACAGCAAGTCAAAGCTTTTAGCTAAAATGTCTCGATATCACATAACGTGCCCATCAAAACACTAAAGGGTGGGACCTTACTCCAGCGTGAAAACGTATCCTAACACCATCATCATCATCATCATAAGCTATGTAGCGAAGTATAGAAGGCCAACAAACTACATCGACAAATTCTTGAAAGCGGAACCAGTGAATACCTGATTGAGCAGAAACTTTTTTGCAGTAGGATGATCTAAAACATAATGAAGAATACTGTAGAGATCTTGAGAAAACAGGGTCTTGATTACTCCCACATTGTTGGTCTATACATCTTCTGGTGAAGTTTACATTTAATCTCATTCACCGACTAAAAATAACGGTATTCCCCTGAGGATAAATCAAATTTGACTTCACGTTAGATGTCAGATCTCCAAAAAAAAATAAAATACACGTGCCAGCATATGTGCAGCTTTCCTCAATGGTAAAACAGTTCATTTTGTTATGCAAATGCAGGATTCATCGAGTACCAAATTACTCACCAGCCTCCATGTCTTGAGAAATAATCATTATCAAGAGATATAGCAAGTGCAACAGCTACTGCTCTTTCTGATAGGCTTAATGGACGTGCTACATCCAACTCTTCAATCTACATTGAAAAAGAAACCAAAACAATTGTGAATCATCCGCCACTGGTCGCAATACATGCCATCTTGCATTTCTAGCTCATCTCAAGATGTTCTCAACACACTTTCACATGTAACAACCAATAAACTATTCAAGAAAAGTTCAATAAACAAGTTTGAGTCTTCCCACGCCAGTCTCACCTTCACATCACCAAAATAGGAGAGTTTTTTAAAATAAATTTTTATTTTGCTTTTTGCTTTTTGGTTGGGTCAGGAGATGAGGGATCACTTATGAATAATTGGAAAAAAAAATGAAGGTTTAAGATGTTAGTACAGGTGCTCCCACTTATGAGTGATTGGAAAAATAAGTGAAGGCTTTAGATTCAGTAGAGTTGCTTTACCCCTGTAACAGGACAAATACTGGAATCAGCATTCCCAAACCGAATCACATACTGGCCAGCATCAGTGAATATCTGTCACACAAACAACACAACATTAGTTCTTTGTGATAAATATGCTGAAAACTGAGGAATTATTTCAACAGAACCAAAAAAGGATATCATAGAAATATGTTCCGGGCCACCATGAGCTTACATATCATTTCAAATCAATAGACTCCCATGTTTAAAAATATTTTGTCAGTAATCCACTGAAAGTGATGAACTGAAATGTGATAATGCAGCAGAAGAGACGCATAATATTTATAATTGGCATGCTACAATGTGAGAGAAATGAGACATAAGAAACAGCAAGAAATGCAGAATGTTGACCGTAAAGCATCTCCGACCAAAGAAGACAAATATAATTTATCTTAGAAAGTAGACACAATCAACTTCATGACTAAGTAATAAAGCATTTTTCCTGTAACTGTGAACCATTCTGCTTCATGTATCCTGAGATAATTAGCAGACTCAACCAGAGGAAAAAAAAAAGGAAGAAGGAAAATCACCTCAAAACCAAAACCTCTCCAATCACGATCTATCTGAGCCAGCACCTTCCCATCGATGTCCTTCAAAGTAAATGTCCAATTCCAAAAGCCAGGATTTTCAACAACAGCAAACTGCTTATTCCTACAACATGTGATAAACATGTTCTAAGTCATAAAATAAGCTAAAGTCCATTGAACAACATTATTTATCTGATACAATGGATCAAAGTGGGTGCTTTCAAGAGTCAGAAGTGTTTCCAGCAAGTCATTTAGATACTAAACTAGGAAATATTTAGACGCTATAGCGACCACAAGTCATTACATTTCTGCAGAGAGTATCGAAGGCTTCAGTGTTTGTGGCTCACTTTTACACCAAGGTGTGTTTAGTAAATGTTTTCCAATTTTCCTATGTTTGGTTGGTCAAAATGTTTAGAAAACATATTCTTAGGAAAACAAACTCCTTAAAAATGAGGAAATTGACTTCCTTAATGGACGGTGGGAAAACAAGTTGCATAAGTGACATTCCAAGTTTATTGTCGACCATCTCTCCATTTAATAGAAAATCCAGGAGGTGTGATAAATTTCAAGAACTTGATATTATCAAACCACCCATACTCGCTAAACTTAACTTTTCCTCTTTCACACTATAGATGGTGAGATCAAAATATGTTAAGCTTTAGGAACACAATTAACTTCAGTTTACATGTTAAAAACCTTAATCCAACTTAAATCCGCACTAATTCAATGAACCATGAAAGTTATTCAACCAATCCACAATTCCTTAAGTAAATCCATGTTACTGACTCCACCTAATTGGACTTCAAACCATACAACCCCTCGAAACAAGAGATTTGAGGGATAGAGAGATAATTTGTGACTAACATGAATACGTGGAAATATTGCAAAAAAGGAGATTACCCCAAGTACAGATCATAAATTCTCCTCCATAGATGCCATCTTCTGTGGACAACACCAACCTCCTGGAAACATTTACAACGAGAGCTTAAAACTACTGGGAACATATGACCTAAAAATTGACAATTCACGGGAATGGCTTGCATAAATGCATACTTCTCCATTTATCTCTGCATAAATTGAGCTGTTGATCCACCAAAAGGGCCTCCGAACCTTATTTGATCAGTACAGATAGATAATTATAAATTCTGGGTATACATATATTCTGAAATTAGAGCTAATTGATACCTCAATGAACAATACAAAACGCTGTTTTAAATTTCGTACCCTAAAGAGCTCATTGCCAAGGCCGTCAGTTACATAAGCCACAAATGGGCGCCTTGTACGAAGAAACTACAACAAAGAACAACACATTTAGGTGAAAAGATAATAAAAGTTATAAAAGTCCCGGTGCAATCTAATAAAAGAAAAAAGCATCAGCTTGCTGCCAGTGTATGGTATTAATTAGCAGACAATTAATGCAACAAGATGCAGCTTCACTTGTGAAACCTGATGCAAATGCAAGGTTCTCTGAAGCTCTCTTTCATCTACGATGCTTTCTCTTTCTTTTTTTTTTTTTTTTTTTTAGGATAAGTAAAAAGAAACTTTTTACAAATGAAAGCTGCACTGAGCCTGTGCTTCAAAAGATAATTACAGAGAGTGCAATTCTCCTTATCAGATCAATCATTGCATCTACAAAATACATCATGTACAAAGGTAGGTTGCACCAGAAAGCTAAAAGACAAATGCAACTAGTTTAATTCAAAAATTCTGTGAGAATATTCAAACAGGAGTGAAGAAAATGAACTGGAAAAATATCACATTGTGGCTTTTTATTGGATGTTTTAGCTAATGATCATATTCCTTCTCCACACAACGGATATTTTGATTTGGTGAAGATACCTTTCTCCATGATTATATATGGGGGAGTGCATTATACTAGCCAATAACATGAGAAATACCAACAGTGTAAAAGAACCCTCGTGTCATATCTATCCTAATATGTCACCACCATTCAATATCAATTTTTCGTATTCAAAACTCCTATTAGTCCACTCTCCCATTCAGAGTTTCTGTCACCTCCTATTTTGCAGCCTTCAGCACTTACTCCGGCGTTAATCATATTCTCTACAACATATAAGACAATGACATTGGTAACACCTCCCAACAAAAGAGGGTGGATATGCATCTGTGGATCGGTCAACCACTCTACCAGCATGAAAGAAGACCAACTACATAAATGAGAACATGTTTTTGTTGATTTCAGTATAACTTATAAATATGCCGCCACTTTCCAGTATCGAGTTTTCATCTTCAACAAGATGCAACTTGCATTTTCATATACCCAGACATGATTTCTACAGGCAGAATCACCATCACTACTCCAGTGTTGCAGCCCTCACTCTCCAGTTTATTGATGCCAACTCCATAAATTTCTATATAGACTATTTGCTTGTTATACTTCTCAAAACGACCAACACTTAATGCATGCTCTTCTCCTGTTACCAAGGGATAGCTGGAATAGGTTCATAAAGCTACAGATGCACCCAATGCAAATTCAATCAGCTAGACATAAATTACATTTAAATCACTGAACCATGCTAATCATCTAAAACAATCACTCGGCCTCTACAATCTTTGACCATTGAGGGGAAATTCAATTGATGACACCAACTCTTTGTCATCCAAATTCATGCAGTCACGAGTCACCCTCCGATTTTACTCCCAATAAACTTCTACTTAGCCAATCCAATCCAGCTTAGACTTCTCAATCTCATATAACCAACATCGATACATGGTATGTGATGTTCAAAAAGTGCATAGTTGATTAAGGATGCATTGCATGCATATTAATCAACTAGAAAATTACAATAAAGATGATGATTGACCATGTCAGTGATGTAAAGTTATGTGAAAACCACGTGCATGATATATGTTCATAAATATACGTAATTAGCCTCTCCTCTGAATTACTCTACAGTACTGCCGGATCATTAAGCTAAAAACATTCTTTCACAGCCTCATCGAGAACCCAAACAATAATAGAAATACAAGCTACTTTTGAGCAAAAGGTTAAATAAGACAAACAAATCAAAAGTAGATAGCAAAACGAAGAACCAGAAGTACCTGTCTTGCAAGGAGATTACTTTTTTCACGAATGAAACCTACAGGCTAGAAAGACAATATACAAGTAAGAACTAATTTATCAATGAGGGAAATTTTATTAGATCAAATTGTCTATGCAAGCAGTAAACTGCAGTGAGAGAACTAGAAGGCATTAGAGGTTACTTACCGATTGTGGGAAGCAGACATCCATGACTGCATACCTGTTTTCCTGTAAATTATATAGAAAATCAATCACAAAACTCTGTAGTCAAAATATATCAAAGAAAAAGAAAAAGTAGATTAAAAAGAACATGTTTAGAGACATCCAACCCCAATATCTCAACACCACAATAAAACTCTAGAAGAGTTCTTCTGTCCCAATTTGTGTGGCACTGTTCGACCGTCCATGAAGTTTAAGAAACAAAAGGTAGACTTTTGAAACTTATGGTCTAAAACAAGTCTTAGACATTTGTGTGACTATAAATCATCTCATTAAAAGTAAAACAGGGATTTTAAACTTAAATTGATTCAAAATATGGAAAGATGACATTCTTTTTGGGATAGACTATAAACTATGCCACATAAATTGGGATAGAGGGAGTATAATTAAATTTGAGGGTTTACAACTGAAGTAAATATTTTGGTTCTCCTTCTCTCTTCAAGTGTTTTGGGTACTCAACAGCGTAGACTGTTGAGGAGTTCAGAGGAACTCAACAAAAATAATGAGCCCGGAGAGAACAGAGTAGGTTTAGTAGGAAGAGAAATGGGCTTGAAGAAAAAATACTGTTCTGATGGTTTGAGTTGAGAGAGAAACCCAGAGTGAGCGAATACACAAGATAAAATATACAGTTGGGCCAAAAATATAGAGAATATAGAGAACATGATTGCATCAGACTTCTGAATAAGGGAGTTCACTAAACTTAAGCTCCAATTCCATATGAACGAATGTAAGCCGTAGAGGTGGGTGTTCAGTTCTTTCGAACTTCGGTTTTCGGTTATTCATAAGGGTGTACCAAATACCAAACCGTTTTTTTTTTTCAAATTCGGTTCGGTGCGATTTTTTCTAATTGATCACTCCATATGCCCAGGGTAGTTGATGGAAGTGTGACTTTGGTTCCGCAAAGCCTCTAGTGCTCATTCAACAGCCACATATGACAGTATTTGAGATGAAGAACTTGAGCAGCAACCAAATGACTTTAAAAGATTAGTAATCTAGAACCCTTTGACCAAGCAAATAGATACAATAATAATTGCAATACCAATAATGATGTTCATAAGAATAAATTAGTAAAGCCACAAACTTACTTGCTCAAAACCAAGCATAAGATTAGCCCACTCAATATCTCTTGTTATCAGCAAGTTAGATCTTGCAAGAAGAGGTGCAACCATGGCCTGAAAGAAGAAAGATATTGGAATTTCGGTGCTTTTTATACATTCCAACTCTTAACAGAAACAAAGGCAACAATTATACATTTTCTGATTCACAACAATAGCAATATATAAGTACATGTTTAAGCAGGAAAGGTAACAAATTACAATGAAATTTTTCAGCCTAAAATAAAGAGTTCATGAACTACAAAAGAGACGTTCCAGCCACGTCTGTAAAGGAAAATATAGAGTGACTCTGTATTGTACCCTAGACAAAGCAACTTAAAATATGCCCAGGGTAGTTGATGGAAGTATGACTTTGGCTCAGCAAAGCCTTTAGTGCTACTCTTAACAGCCAGGGATGCCAGTATTTGAGATGAAGAACTTAAGCAATAACCAAACTGACTTTAAAATGATTAGTAATTCAGAACCCTTTGACAAAGCGAACAGATACATAGTTCCTTAAGCAAGAAAATAACATTTTAAAGATATGATCGATGAGCTGAAAATATGAGGATTTAGAGATTCTGTCCCTCTAAAGGGAGCAAGGTGACTAGAGCACTGAGTAGAGTCAAAGATCTCCCATAAAGTAAATGCAAAACCAGTTGCAGAGCAAACACTTTTTATAATGCATGAGCAATATTAGACACATTACTCATTAGAGCCATCAATTAGGAAGTAAACAACCTAGTCAGATCCTGAGCACACCTATTCAAATTAAAAGAAGCAACAAAGACAGAAGCGATTGGCGATTTTGCAGATAGGAGACCAATTAAAGCTATAACTTGGGAATTCAGTTTCATGTTAGGGGGCATATATGTTGAACATAAAATTCTACATTTCTTTTGTTATGAATGCTAGAAGGGTTTGACAACTCTACCTCCTCAACTGATGTTGGCTCCAAAATACCTGTCACAGATTGGCTTATAGGTGGTTGCTTGAGAACTGGCTTGACTTTCTTGTGAGGTGTATCTTCTGGAATGGAGGCACCTGAGAACATTTTTCTAAACCGAACTTGGAAAAATGTGTCAAAACCTGTTGTTCCTCTCTGGTCTACAGTATTTCTCAATTTTCTTTTTTGTTTTCTTCCAGATCTTTGTTTCTTTTTGTCAGCAAGCCAAAGCTGCACAAAAAAATCCCTGTTCAAATCAGGACCATCTCCCGACCTCTTCCCATACTGTCGAGATACAACAATTGCACCTGGTCCTGCCCCTTGGGCAATGCCAGTAACAAATCCAGGCAGCTTATCCCTCCCTAGCATATTTCCTTCAAAGGTCAATTCTCTAGAAAGATTTCCAGTTTGATTAAGCGAAGACGATAGGTATCTTCTTTGTAACTGTGATTGGACAGAAGAACTGTTTTTAACAACAAACATCCCATTCCAATGCTCATTTGTCCCCAAACTTTCCGATGATCTGCACTTGTATTGTCTAGCTAAACAACGAAAACTCATTCTCCAGCTCATCTATTGATAAAATAATATTAGTCAAATACATTATCAATCTATATTGAATACACATTCTTAAGTAGTAAACAACATAGCAAAAATCAATTACTCATAGCTCGTAATCAGGGACGGAGCTAGCTCATCAGTCTAAATTTGATTCCAAACCTTATGTATGTATTAAGAAATTACTAATTTAAAACCCAGTAATTCTAAAGGAATAAAACCCGAACACATAGACTTCAAATTCTGGTTTCGCCTCTATAGCATATTCATGAAATTGAAACTTAAACTCAAACTGTAAAGCTTTAAACAAGTCATTAGCAAAACAAACAAATACAAAAGAATGAATTCCAAAAATATCTAAACACGGGGTTTTTCAACCAATCACACAATCAAAAACGCACAAATTCATAAACACTTCAATTGAATTATTCTCACCTTAGCATAACGGAGAAGAATATCAAAAATGTTGATCTACAGAAGAATTTGCTGGTACTGCAATGGCGTTAAGGGAAGTACAGTGAGAATTTGTTCTTCGAAGTTACCAGAAAGTAGAAATGGAGAATGAATGTTGTCGGGTCGGGTCAGGTTTTGTGCCCGAGACTGTTTAGCGGGAGAAGTGCAAAGATGGCCAAGTTTAGAGTCATTTACACTTTTATCCCTGTTCTTGTTGGCCAATTTTAGTCATTTTCTTTTTAGTCCATTTAAAAAAAGGTCTCTTTTTTAATAATTTTTTAATTTTAACTTTTCATATGACATGTTTAATATCATAAGATTAAAGAAAATTTTAATACATTTAACACATCTTTAATTTAAGATCACAAGATTTAAAAGTCTTATTTACTTTCTTAATTTTGTGTCAAGTCAAACAAATTTCCAACTACAACGTTCTAAGCTCTTCAATTCTCGATTTCATAGTGATAAAGTTCAAACACACTATGTTCCAACCAAGATAATTTCTTTACTTCGAAATTTAAGAAGGAAAGAAAAATTGATTTTTAAAACTTGTTATTTTAAATAAGTTGTAGAAATTTATGTAGTTATAATTATATATCACCTCACTTAGTATTACTTGAAAATGATGAATGAGTCTTGTGCATGTTTTATTGCATTTGTAATTTGAAGAAGTTAGAGTGCACGGAGAGAGAGGTTGTTCCTGATAGACCTCGGCTGAAAGAAAAAAATTCAACTCAAACCATAGAATTTAAACACAAAAAAACGAGTTTCAAAAAATCAAAACGTTTTTATAAATCACCATCAAAAAGGTCTTTTGTTCAATCATGTAAAATTCATAACATATAGTCTGCAGTATAATCTACTAATATATGGATGGATACAAAGTGGTCTTATTATTATTGGGTTGATAAATTCTGTGTCTCAGGTTTAAGCCTTGCATTAGCAATACTCCGAAAAACTTTCAAAATTCCTTTAAATGATACAGCTCCAACCAAATTGTGATCCTCATCAATGACCCAAACGGAACTAGCACGATGTGCAAGTGCTTGAATTAGCACAGCTGCCAATGAACTCCCGGGGTAACATGTGATCGCCTCTGACCTTCTTGATGAGGAATATCGTCCTGATCCATTTCTACTCGACCCAGATTCATCGTCAGAAGAACAACTGCAAGCTGAAGATGATGAAGACGACACTGAGAATTCTTCCTCCATCAGTTTGGTCATCAGGCCAAGTTTTTTCTCTTGCAACCTCATTTTCACCAATCCAACCAAGTCCTCTGGAGGACCACCGTAGTCTATGTATGCCATGAGATCACCGGCTGAAAGAGTCGTGATTGCTGCTGCAACATCTTCATCACAGTATGCAAGAGTGGAAGCAGAGATTTCCCCAATTAGTTTATTGTCATTATCCACTACTGCCAACGCGGTTTGTTCAATATTTGCTAGTTTAATGGAATCCAAAGCAGATATTGCAGGATCGTGGTAGCCGACAGTCATAATGTTGTGATCTATGATGTTGAGGGATTCAATCGAAAATGTGGGCATAGGAGAGAAGACTCCAATGGAATTGAGAAGGAAACGTGCAACATCTTCTTGTGTTAGCCAACAATATTCAACTCCATTATGATGTGTAGATCTCGGAGAGGATGATTTTCTCCTTGAATCTGTGCTTGCATAGTTGTAAATTGGTATGACTGCGTTTTGGGTACCTTCAATCATGTAATCTATAGCTTCGAGCAAGCTGAACAAACAGAAATGTAATTTCAGAAGACTACCAATAACAGCAAACATCAGTAACATCAATCTACCAGCAATAGATCCATTGAAAACTAAGAAAAATGATCCAGGAAAAGGACAATTGGGCAAAAATTTCTGCTGCAAGTATTATTAAGCTAACAAAATTCAATAAAAGAGCAACACAAACCTTGAATTGGGCTCCAAATGCCTCACAATTGAATCTCCTTTAGGCAAAAGCTTCGATATCGGAACTTCAAATGCCTTGGAAGAATCAATCAAATTCTCTTGTTTAGAGAGAAAGCAAATTACATCCACCATAGATATCTTCCCAACGCAATGACATCCATCATCATCATCTGCTTTAACTTTTTCTAGAACCGAAGAAGAATGATCGCAATTCCATACGCTTACATGAGTCTCGCCGGATCTCTTCAACAACAATAACGCCTCTGCTACCGTGGCATTCTCCGGAATTGACCTTAACGCCGGCTTACCAAGGCATAAATCTGATACATCCCGATTCAAAAACCGTACTGCCATGCAAATGATAATCACCGAGATAGATAATATTAATAATATAAATGCAAAAAACAAAGAGAAATAGGCGTAGGCGTAGACGGCGAGGCAAAAATGGAGAATTTTGAGTTGCCGGAAAACGCCGTGTGAGAAGATCCGGTGGCCGTCTCAGGGGATGACGACTGAGGGAAAATGGAGGAAAATTGAGATATTTATAGGCGGGAGATTACCGGAATAACCGGTAAGAGGGATGAGTTTTTTGACACAGATTGTGGGGCCCGGGAGGATACAAGTGGTTAAACAAGTTTGGTTTGGAAACAATGAGAAAATGACAAAAAAGGTACCAACATGGGTCGTGATGTACTGGTGGTGGGAGTGCTTCACCATTAACCAAAGATCTCGGGTTTGAGTTTGGGAGCGCCACCCCCGAACGGGCTCTGCAATGTGCGATCCGTATTTAGTTGGAGCTCCAATGTAGGCTCTGGACACCGAGTGGAAAACCACCCAAAAAAAAAAGAAAAAATGACAAAAAAGGTCCTACCGGGAGTCGAACCCAGGTCGCTGGATTCAAAGTCCAGAGTGCTAACCACTACACCATAGAACCGGATGTCCTGTTTGCTTCCAAACATTTATCATATTCTTTGATTGTTAATTGAAAAACTTCTCACTAACTGCAAAAAAAAAAAAAGTCTGCTTTTACGAGTTCAATCATAAAAGCAGTCACTAATACTTGCATTAAGGTAGCTTGTTTATACGATACCCTTCGAAGTGATATCCTTTTTCGGACCCTACTAATATAAGATGTTTTGTATACCGAACTATCCTTTTTTCTCTGAATATACCTGAAATAAAAAGAGGACATGTCCTTCTGGATGACTCAGTTGGTTTGGAGGGTGGTTATCCACACGGATGACCCGGGATCGATCCCCCCTCAATGCCTTCTAGTGGCACGCTGGGGGTTTACCTAGCGCTCACCTCTAGCAGGAGTTTACCCTGCGTACCCAAATGACGTTTCTTGTCGTCCTTATTGACAATTTTTTTAACAAACATTTTCATGTCTATCTATTTTGTAATGCTTCCAAAACCCCTCTAAATTCAGAGAATCCTTGGTGAAGTGCAATTCTTTTGTCTTTTTGGGCTTTTTTTCATGGCTATTATTATCGTCGACCATAATTCAGTTCACATATTCTAGCAGAACATGACTTTAAAATTAATTTGGCCGTTGGAAATATTTTCGATGGACTTTTCATAAAATTGACAAAACGTCAGTCAAAGTTCGTGTTTTCCTTTTGTAGTTATGTAAAAAGGCACAAAAAATGTTCAATCAAAGCATACCTCGTTAGCAAACCTAATGCAAGCATTAATGACTGTTTCCACAACTCGTATTCACAACACAAAAATGTACAATAAGTATAGTAGTAAACCATATCATACTCACTCTTATCATACAGATCCTTGGCATATTTGTTTACTTCTTCCTACTTCCTTTTTGTTTTTTACATTTCTCCTTCCCCTTCCCCTGCTTCCTTTCAGCCTGGTAACCACCACCTCGAGTCTCGGAACTACTAGCAGACGGAAGAAGATCCATCATAGCAACTCTATCACACGATACATAAAGTTTCTCCGCGCATTGGTTCTCTAACGCGATGATTATATCCTTTGGCACAATGAAATGGTTCAAGAAAACTTCTAGCTTGGTCTTTTTTGATAGCAAGCTCTTTAGCAATTGCTCAATGCTTTCCTTTTCCAGAGTACTGCATAAACATAATAATACAACAAAATTACAAATTGAAAAGACAAAAGTTTATGTATATTGCAAGGAGAAAACAACACAAAGATTCACCAAAACAGACATCTGTTTAGTAAATGATGCTCTTTTTTATCGTTTTGATCACAATGAATATCTTAATGACAAAACAATAGACCATATTCTAAAATTTTATAAGTTATTGCAAACGTTGAATGACAATCTAATGTTTCGTCTGTAAGGTTAGAGAAGTATATGATCAACACTACATCTTAGGGGACATGTTATGCATCTCAACATCCATAGTACACCTTTACATGTAGAACTTGACAGAAACCATGTCGTCTGCCCCTCATCGTTCAAATTAATTTTGGCGAAGGTGATGGAATTACGTTTATTGATCTAAAAAGATATGCTTAACCAAAGGTAATATGATATAATCCAGAAGACATAAAATTGAAGAGTGAAGAAACTAAGAGCCAACGAACCTCGTATCCATCAATAAATGGAGTTGTATCAACTCCTGAAGCAGATTACGAGTTTCCTCCATCATGTCCTCAGCAACATAAAGTTTCTTCTCCGAGCACAGATTGATTGCAGCGGTTAAGAAGCTTACATTATCATTAATTTCCTCCTTGAAACAAGAAAAACATGAAGTTTAGTAACTTGATATAAAAAAAGAAACATGAAAACAGCCAATTCGACCCGAGCACAACACATAATTTTACTGAATTCCAAGTCATAACACTAAGAGAATTAGGATTAGTTTAAACCTTCAAATTAACAGTTGAGACACTTGCAGAAGTTGCACTGTCATCGCTGCCACTAGACTTCAAGACGTCTGATACTTCCTGAAACACGGCCCAATTCAGTTGCACGTAATGATCTGACACAGGAGTAATGGTCGAAATCTTTGGTTGATCACCACAATATGAGGAAAAATTCGCGCATGACATGACTTCTGGAACGGTGATAGTTTTATCTATTGAATTGCCTGTTTCAGCTGGAATCAACAAACTCAAGATATCTTCTTTGCTGCAATCTGCTCGCAGCTGCACAGAGACGACGTTGGAATACTCAACTCCCGGAACAATCTCACCAAGGTTGATAACCAAAAGAGGATCTCCTCCTTTTTGAAAAGCTTCAACAAAATCATTGATATGAACACAATTATTCTCCGTTCCTCGTTGAAGAATGACATAAAGTTCCTCCGGAACCTGGTTCCTAACATAGTCGATACTGAGCACTTTGAAAAGAACATCATAGTATATCTCACAGTTCAGACACAGTAAGCACAGAATAAACACCAATCTCAAGACCATTTGCTTATAGTACATGTCAACATTGATTTTTGATCGAGCAATCCACTCAACTGTGCTAGCTTTGTCAAAAATGAGTTCTTGTACCATCACAAGAATGGAATCATATAATTCTTCTAAAACCGGTGTCTTAACAGCATTCCTAGAAGTTAGTCGGGAATCAAGCTGCCCAGATATCAGCCATTCAACAAATGAAGATTTAAACGCGAAGAACATTCCACGATACTGAGATACCAAAATCAGGAAATGCTCGAGAAGATACAAGAAGTAACCAGGGGAGAAACAGTCGTCAATTTTTGTCCAATTCTCGTCTCTTCTTTTCCAATTCGCGCTAAATGTATCCTGCAAAGCTTCACAAAATTTCTGCAATAACTCATAACATTCAAGATTAATGTTGCTCAATAGAACTTCTTGAAATTTCAACGATTGGTCTCTAACAGAATCGCCTGACTGATCAAAATCTTCCCAACATTCTCTCTGTTTCGTGCAATAGAGAATTTCGATGAATGACTTCCAAGGAACATCTGATGGGATTCTTCCAACAATTTCCTCGTACAGCTCCGCGGGAAGTTTTCCCGAAGCAAGGCATATGATCACCATCCTTCCAATCTGTCCATAGCTAAGAGTACCACTAGTGCCAATATCCTGGACAATACATTCTTGAAGTAAGTCACAAGAAAGTCTTGTTCTCCTTAGAGAAATCATACGTCCCACCATTGACTGTCGAGAATCGAGGGGGAATATCTTCTCAAAGTATTTTGTCGACACTAGTGTCAAAACATTCTGTATTCTCAACGCAAAACTGTTCAAGACATGGTGCTTGGACTCACTTAAAAACTTTACAATCTCGTACACATTTAGCAGGCACACACTTTGCCAAAATAAAGGCAACGACTTTACAGCCAACTCATAGAGGGATGCAAGAGTTTCGAGAACCTTCAGACCAACTACAAGTAATGCTGTACGCCAATGAGTACGAACAGCAGAGATAAAATGCCGAGCATCAACAAATACCATTTGTTTGTTCCGTCTTACAACAGAGCTCTGAATATTTTTCACCCATTCGGCTGCTGGATGCAGCAGAACATACGTAACGTTGAGACCATTCAACTGCTGCCTTACACCAAAGTATTTTAGACAGAATTCACCAACTCCTTTGAATTCACCAAAATCAACATCTCCGAGGCACTCAAGAGAATCAAGAACATTAACAACATTATTCTTCCACGAATTCCAAAAGTGAAACAGTGTCCCAACACTAACTGGGCTGCTCGGAATCAGTTCTTCTGAACCATTTAGATTACCCGATAACTTATCATCCCAAACATACTTCGTTACGTCATACTGAAAATGAAAATCCAATATCTTTCTACAACACAAAATTTCACCTAGGAAACTTTTACATTTCTTAGAGGCAATGAAATTATGCTTCAAGACTGACCAATCAACCGACTCATTCGATAAAACCTTAATCTCAATGCACACGGTTTCAAAATTTGACCCCTGCCTCGCGAATATCATCGCCTTCTCTAAAAGTTCCTCCTTTTGCACGAACGATTTCAAAGGCCAACCTTTACTTCCAACCATCCATAATGAGTGAGACAGAACATACAAGAGGACAAGTGAGCATGCCTTATCAAAATCCCCTCTCTTCCCAAGAAGATCAGCTTCACAAAGTACATTTCCAATCAAACGTGTGATTTCAATAGCTTCAGCAATGTTTCCTGATTCTTCTTCTAAAAGAAGCAACTCATCGAGGCACTTTCGAGACATCAAGAACTTGCGCTTCAAGTCCATTGATGGGAAAATTCTGACAAATTTCATCATAGATTTTCTGTCCTTATGCACAAAAGAGTTAGATGCACAACTCTCCAAGAACTCCATCCTGATTTCATCAATTTCATCAGCACTTTTCCCAACATTACCGCGCTGACAAGCGTGTTGCTTCCAGAAATCGATATATTTCAGACCTAAGTCATAACATTTTCCTTTGGTACAAACTGACAGACACTCTGTGAAATAATTTCCTTTTGCATAAATTTCTGCTGCCTTCTTATAGCGACCGGCCAGCGTAAAACATTCAGCAGCCTTTATCAGTTCACCACACTTGTCCAAATAAATACTTCCTGCATGTAAGTTTTACAAGTTAAACATATAAACCGAAAAACATGATCGGATATGAAATTTTCTCATGTTTAAGTGAAGAAGTCGCAAAGGAAATGCACTACATATGTATATATCAAATACTTAAGTTTAGAACATTATTAACACTTGAACACATCATTCAAAAATACAAAACTAATAAAGTTGAAATGATGGCTCCGCCTCTGTCAATCAATTTGCTTCTATACCTTCAAGCTTATGATTTTATGATGTATGTTTACTAAAGCTCAAAAGTGGATACTTAAAACTCTAGAAACGGAAATGCGAAGCAGCAGAGAAGGAAGAGAAAAAGAAAAAAGAGCAATTTCGTAAGATCACCAACTTCATACCTGCTTGTTTATAATCTTTTAAGTCATAAAAACACTCTGCTGCAGACTTAAATCTGCCAATAGAAAGAAATATCTCTGCAGCCTCCAGAAGATTGATGTGAGCCCTTTCGGGATCAGAATAACGAATTTGTTCAGCAGTTTCCATGATATAAGCGGCCTTTGCTCTTTTCTCCCAATCTGTTTCACCCGCTTGCTTGAAACACATAAGTGCCATCTTATAATTTTTCTCCCAAAACAGCTGCATTTAAACATCAAACACTTTAGGAGGACAGAAAGAAGTTGAGACCATGCAATGAAAAATGCACGAGAGAGTAGCAACGGAATGAGGAAGACTGAGTTGACCTTCATTCCTCTCGATTTCCACTCCTCCGGAGTGCTGAAAGTTTGCATAGTATCTGTGACTGAATGTACATTCTTTACTTCCATAAGAGACGACATTTTCCAGTAGTCAAACATAGGCCTGGAAAACTCATCTAGACTTTCACATATCCATAATCTTTGCCGTGTTCGAGTAATAGCAACATAAAGTTGCTTCAGTTCAGAACACAAGATATTATGTTTTGCATCACAGAAACTTGGGAAGGACAAATCGGCTAAGTTATGTTCTTTCATATGCGCATATACAACTCTCCATTGATTTCCGAGTGGCGATGAGCTAAAAAAATTGTACAGGAGTACATCCTACAAATGATCAACAAAGTCTCATCAGTAGAATTCAGTAAATTATATAGCAAAACAGTTGATTCTACCTACTCAAATATGAATCGGAGGAGATATTAGCTCGTTTTGCGAGGTATCTTCTTACGAGTAGGCATATCTTTATTTAGACATATTCCACATCCTGATTTTTAGAGATTAGAACAATTCTTTGTTGTTAAACCCTCGAGTTAAGACACGAAGAACTTCTAACTCAAATTAAAGTAACAAAAATGAATTAGATGACTGATATCTTAAGCACAATAAGCAACCAGAAGACTTGCCTCAAATTCGAGCCCTTTGCATTCAACTATGGTCAGAATAAGAGCTTTCTGCCCAACTAAACCATAGACTTCTTGCTTCGCAGATTCATCACGTACTAATATTACTTGTTCCGCACCAAAGCCTACTATTTTGCCACTGTTATTCCCCTTGTTCCCGAAAAGAGTTATAATGGCATTTTCATCATTTCCGGTCGTGAGTAAGACCGGAGATGCACCACCTATAAGACTTGTCTCAGATTTTAACACATCTACGGATTGAGGGAAAAAATGACTGAGTAGATTAATCACACTCTGAGCGATTTTGAGTACACCGGTATGTGTACGGAAGTTCTGAAGCAACTGAAAAACACATGATAGTTGTCCTTTATCTTTTCTTCTGACATCACTCTTCGAGTCCATGAGAAACTCAGTGTAGAATAAACTTCTTATGTCCTCAAATCGAAAATCAACACCCCTTGCAATAGTCTGGGCCGTATCCCCCGAGAAAACAAACCCTTCATCCACATTTCTGCAAATATATTTGAAAAGAGAAAGTTGCCTCATTGTCAGGTCTTGAACTTCATCAATATATACAAAGTCCATTTTGTCACCATCCAAATGATCACGTTTTAGTCGAAGATGAATATCATTAACTAAATCAGATATATCAAATTCACCACGCTTCATCTTCATCTTTTCGTAAGCTTGGAAAATATCATATATTCCCTCTCTATTCTCCACACTTAAATTGGAGACACGGTTTTTAGACATTAAAACATAAGCATCTCTACTAAGCTTCCCATCATGAAAATCGCCAGCATGTAGCCCACCTTTTATATGAGACATTATTTCTGTAAAGACCCTTGAAGGATCAAGATTCTTTGTCAATTGACGTCTGAAGTGAGGCCAATACAAGCAACAAAAACGATCATAACTGATCTCCTTCTCTCTTATGAATGTTTCTATGGCAACTGACCTCAAGCTTCTGTCCTTGGAAAGATTCCACTTCAAGTTAAATTTATTGAAGTACGAAGAACCTACTGTTCCATCAAGCATCATTAAGAATTTATGGAATGTGATCACAAGAGGGTATTTTTTGTATGGAATGCCTATAAAAGAATTCGGTAAGTCCCTAAACGGAGTCATTCCATCAAACTCATCAGCTTCAAAGCTGCTTTCAGCCCAGAAACTTTCACCAAGAGAAAACCTGCAGATTTAAGGAACACAAATTAGGATCAACAGCTTCTACGGCTACCCTATATAAAGCTGCAAGATTTACAGGATGGAGGGACTAAAGTCTTCATTATTTTATAAACTGCGTGCCCAAAGCGTGCCCAAAGCTGCAAGATTTAAAGGGTGGAGGGACTTAAGTGGACGAAAGTCCTCCTTATTTTATAACCTTCGTGCCCAGTCAAACTAATTAAGACACACATAAATTGTAAAGATATGACACCTTGGCCTAACTCAACCCCAAGAGCTAGCTCATGAGGGAGGATTGTCCGAGTTCATATAAAGAGACCACCAATTCATTCCCCAACCAATGTGGGACTTTTACCCACTCTTACATCACCATTTTCCATTTTCTACAAATTTGTTTATTTCTATATAAATCACGGAAACAAAACAAAACAAACAATAAAACCAAGTAATTAGTCCAAGGATAAGACGAACAACTCGTTAAAGAAAGTAGTTCCATCAGGCAACTCTACGGTAGCAGATTAGATGAATCACCTTTTCAGCTGAGAAACTTGTTTGTTGACCGCGTAACACAGTTTAGGACTAACAGTGACAAATAGCTGGTGCAAGGTAGTCCTATTAGTCTCTCTGATACTATGGTCATCTTCATGTTCCTCGTATAGTCCAAATCTTGACTCCTCCGCTACATTTAACCCATGAACAGAACTATGGTGTTGCTGCTCTTTTTGGAACAGCTTCATTGTTAACACGGTAGTTTTCCCCGTGCCTGAGCGGCCAAGTATGAAACTACTTTTATTGAAAAGGATTATCTCCCTCTCTTCATTAGTTACTTCAAAAGGGACATCTATTTCTTCACCATGGCGATCGGAGAGCAAATGTGTGACAACACCAGATGATAACGAGTAAAACTTCATTAACAAGAAGCTTTCACTCACTCTTGAATTCTCAACATATCCCGATTCACGGTTCAATTTTCTCTCAGCATCGTTCTTATACTGAACAACCTCACGATGAACCTCCCAACACTTTGGAACTTCCAAATCCCTAAACAGAAAACGAAAAGTTAAAATCAAAGAAATTTTTAAAAGGAGACAACTTAAGTTTATCATAATATTTAGAACAATGGAGTGATAAAAGAAACAACATTACCCCACGAAATACTTCTGATTACAGAGGTTGATGAAGTCCTTAGTGTACGTTAAACATACTGCATCGAGTCGTCTCAAAAACCCAGGAAACTCCTCCAAAGGCAAAATATCCCAAACCTTGAGAACTTGTGTATGAAAGAACTCCTCTTTCTGAATATCAACAGTACAAACGAGATATCGCCCTTCAACCACCTTGAATTTCTTAACCACCTGAGATGAGTTTTTGCAAACTAAGTCCACATTCTTCCTCTTCGGGCGCCATCCACTTGCAAGCTTAACCAGAAGAGTTAACACATACTTCCTCAAGCACGAGGACGCCAACTTTCGAAATGATTTTCCAAAATTCTCACTGAACACTACCTGAAGAACCAAATAGAAGATATAAGCAGTTGCAATGTTACTTCATTAGCTCATATCTTCGGAAAAAATCAAAAAGATAAACCAGGCCCTCTACAGAGCTATTGTTACACCAATAATATAAACAAACCTCGACGGATTTCAGAATTCAGATAGTAAGTACTAACTATAGTCACACCTCACCTCGATGTATAGTGTTCAAAATACAAGAAAACAACTAAGATAACAGGAAAAACACACTTCGAAGAGCAAAGATTAGAGTGCATGACCGTTCACAGCATCATGAATTCGTTATAAATAATCCTACTATAATTCAACTCCTCCATTCCGCGTCTATCCAATCTCTAATCAGACTAAGTTACACAACGCGGTACTCAGAAAAAGTTGTGTAAAAGACAGAAATATGATTTCGTCCATTTATCTATGGAACAAAAGCAAGAGAATCTAAGAAATGTGTGTACCTTCCATTTTTGGTCTTTGAATAGAACACTATCCCCATTTAGAAAATCGTCCAATTGATCAAGTTCCTTCTTGGCATCTAAAATTGTTTTTCTCATGTTAGTATCTTCATCTGCATGAAAGAAGCATTGACGATCCTTGGCATCGAGAATTAGCTCCTCCCAGATGGAGTTACTATTCAGTAACGTTTTTTCATTGCCCAATATCCAGAGACAGTGTCTAAAAAAAGAATGAAAAATCTTAGACAAAGCAGAATTGATCCAAATTGTGAAGAAGCAGTGTATCAAATTGATCCGTACCGGGCCCTGGTCAAAGCAACATTAGTCCAATGAAGACTAGACAGGAAGCCACTGGATCCAGCATGATTCGATCTCACGGTAGATATTATTACAATATCTTCTTCCCCTCCCTGAAATCCATCAACTGTCTGCACGTTAACTTCAAAATGTGCATGGTTATTATACTTCTGACCAAGTCTATCTTGTATGGCCAAAACTTGAGCAGCATACGGTGATATAACACCAATGCGGAGTTTCTTCTTGGAGGCCGTACTCCAAGCTGCAAAAATTAGAATCGTATACGAGTGTAAAAAATGGATGTACTGATGGAAGCTACAAACAACCTCAATAATTGATATATCGATGTTAGACAATGCTTCCTTAAACACAAGAATGTTCGTCCATCGTCATAATTTTAACAATATTAGTAGAAGACAGCACATTAACAAGTGAAGGATGAAAAACTAAGTAATCAGTGTCCGGAAAAATATATTATGAAAAAATGTATAAGTTTTCTTTGATATGATTATACCTTTGAACAAGCTCTGCACCATTTGCATGACCAACGCAACCTCAACCAAATTTCGTCTATGTCCAAGATTATCTAGCTCTTCTTCTCCCCATGGCACATTTATAAAGGCGTACGGACCAAAAGACTGTCCTGTAAGATATATTTTTTCATATGCTTTACTCTTTACATCCGGGGCATCAATGATTTGCCTACGATGGAAAATTGAATTTGGGAACTGGCTTATTGAAGGATGCATCCTGTACTGTATGTTAAGCAAGTGCTTAACATGATCTAACGAACCGAGTCTTTTGAACAAGCTCCTTCCGAGACCAGCTTCACGAGCAATCTGGTAAGGAGTAATAAATTTCTATAAATATATATGATAAAAATACAGCCAGACCTCCCTATAACAAAATTTCACTATATCAGGTAAGTTTTCTTTGGAACCAATTTTCACGTTATGTAATGTAATATGTTCTCTATAACATGATTTAGCTATAGCAACCAAAACGTATCAAGACAAACGACGTTGTTATAGAAAGGTTTTGACTTTATGTCAGCTGAAGTTTCTACAAAATTGCAGGTGAAAGGGGATACGTACTCTACTCTTAACTACCGCTGTCAGCTTGAATTCATCTCCAGCGAGAACAACATGCCTTAAACCTCGAAGTTGAAGGGGTATGACTGCTTCGCACTCCTTCAACTGATCGGCGTCATCTACAACCAATAAGTCAAACGGCTTTGATTCCACAGAATGTAGCGTATATGAAGTAGAAGCAGTGCAGAAAATCGAGGAAGCCATTTGGATACAGAACTCCATTATCAGATCCTTACTCGTCGCGCTAGGAAAATGCAGTGTCCAGAGAGATTGCTGAAGATCTTTCAGGGACTGGATAATTAAAGACACTCCAAATGGTTGCTGACAAGAAAAGAGCATCCTCTCGGTAGAATCAAGCTGGGAGAGAGCGAGCACTATTCTATCAACATTTTCTTTTCGAAGGAACTCTATAGGTACATGTGTACAGATCATAAGCATGTACCTTCGGAGAGATGAAGCTGTCGAAGTAAACTGAGATCGAGCTAAATCTACCGATGAGCTGATCTTCACATTTACCTTTGGAGCTTTCTCTTGCTCACAGAGTTCCTCCAGAAAACTAATCATAGAACTTAAACAGGCATTCAAACCATTCGTTGGCGCAAGGCACTCCTCCAGCCTGTCAACACGATAATCGAGGGAAATCTCCGCAATATCTTCACCATCCTCACAGTTCTTATTCCCAAACAAGAGAATATCACCCAAAGGACAAAAGCCATCATATTCATTCTTAGACGACTCTCGGACCAGTTTAACCAAATGGGAAGCAACTCGGGCTGTTGTTACGTCCGTTGGGGCACAAGTAACAGTATTACACTTCATATGCAGCAGCTCAACAAGCATTACACTTAGTGTCCTAGTCTTTCCAGTACCAGGTGGACCACAAATAAGTTCAACAGAAGCCTTGTGGTAGCATCTCACGGCGGCTAGAGAGGTAAAGATTGCATTAGCCTGGGAATCATTCAACTTGGACAACAGGTTAGGCATAACTTCTCCAACCGGTGCATCATATTCTGAACAAACGTCACATTTCTGTTCGATCTGTTTGTGCAAGGGGACAAATATCAACAAATGTTTACATCATTTAACACCAAATTCATTTCCAAATGCCTACTAAAAGAGAGTAAAAATCAACAAGATTACTTACCTCTTGCACGGGGCAAAGGACTTTCTCAATCATATTCAAATTCTCTCTCACACGCAACATGTTCCATACTCTCTTATTCGACATTACATTTACTAAAAACACTACATGGCATGATCCTCGCATACCCTTAACATTTCCGCTACCCGGAGGAACTCTGACTTTAAAATTAACCAATGCATCGTTCTCATTGACATCAGTAACATATGCAAATGTCCAATATCCCGATCTCTGCAGGTCACTAGCATCTTCAAGTTTAACATTCGAAATAACAACAATATCTCCCGGTGATGTCCTATAAGGAACACGACCATCACAACAATGGTTCCTCCAATAATTAACCTCAACATCAAAAACCAATGATCCATTAGGCTCTAGTACTACTTCAAAGGATATTAATTCAGCAAATGGTGCTTTGACTATGTCTTTCAAGGAAACAGCAATATATGCTCGTGTTTCTTCGAGTAAAGGGAAGACGAAAGAACTCAAGTAATGATCTACTGATTCAAATGACTCAGGAATCTTCTCCACCTACACATTATGAAATTACATTAAAATCATATAGTAACAAAATGAAAATAAAACAAACACACTCTTTTGTATACTTCTCATATATACTATTATGTCAAGTGTATACGTAACTATTGTAGCCGGTAAACTGACTTATTTTCATGATTCTAAATCCTAGTTTCTCAGAACAAGCTACACATTTGGTTAGTCGATCAAAAATAATTTCATTTGCTAATCATATTTACACTATATATTATGTATATCATATATTAATATACAAAAGATATACATTTACAGGCTATTATTTTGGTGGGCGACTATTTATGTCAGTTTCTCTTTTTAAAAGGATTACATGTAGATTTCTTTTGAACAGCCTATAAAGAGTTAAAAAAATTGTATAAACTGACCGTGTATATAACTTAAACTCAATGAAATTACCTGAAATTGATACAAAGTTTCATCAAAAATATCTTTGATAGACCATTTGAGAACCAAATCAATGAAATCAATATCTTTAGGCCTTGAAATCTTCATTTTCTCCATAGGAGAACCTCCTCCCATACCTAAAAAAATTATTCAAAAAAATGAATACTACAATAAAAAATGTTGCATACAAATTTCTATATACAAGGAGCGGAGCTACAGTATAACTATGTACAAGTTCACGTGAACTAGTAACTTTCGATTAAATCAATATTTGTATTAAGAAATTCACTAATACAACAAGAAAAACACCTTAATCCCAAGAATTCACTTTACCAACTTATATATAGCAAGACTTTAGACATATATTGAATGATACATGAAAAGAAAATAGTATTTGAAATTGAAGAACTCATTTTCATGTTTTGAAAACTTATCTTTAGAAATTAATCAAAAAAATTCATTCAAATGCATAATTAATACAGTTCAGTGCACAAAGCATTTAGCAAGATCAGAAAAGAAGGTCGCACCTGTAATGTATACGATCTACCGTAATGCAAGTATTAGTAGCTGCATAGCCAAAACATATTTTTTAAAAGGCAAAAAAATATGTAGCAACACACAAATTAAGAACTATATATTGCAGAAATTTTTTGTACAATAAAAAGGAAATGAAGAAATTAACAAGTTGTTCTTGGAAAACGAAAGGGTGGTCTTTTCATTTTCCTCATGGTCTACTCATTTTCCCCATTTAGTTTTTTTTTTTTAAAATAATAATTAAGACTATAATTTATTTGTGTTTTAGTTATTCAATTAATATATGTTGATTTTTATTAAATATTATGTTCACTTTTAGCATGTCCTTTTCATATTCTTATCATTTATTTTTATTTGTCCAATATACAATAAATATATGTTTATTTTTATTTGTTACTTTTCACATATTAAGAAGAAAAAAAATATCTTTTCATGTTTTACTGTTTATATTAATTATTTATTCCCTAAATCTATATATCTATAAGCTAATATTATACATAATTTGAGAATTGTGTAAAATACTCATATTTATCACTATTTCTTAAGGGATATGTAAAGTTCTAAGTGGACAGTAAAGTTTGTGTATATTTTATCCTTTCAAACGTCAAAATTTTACAGAATATGTTAATGTTATTCACGAATACTATACAATTTATCTTTTTATGACGAAAATATTTGAATCCACTTGTGCCTTCCTCCATTTGTGCAACTACCTGGTAATTTGTCAATCAGGGCTTAGTAAATAAATAAAAATCACCTAGTTTTTACATTTTTTTAATATAAAATTTAAACCTAAAAATTCATGATTTTTCTTAATACTACGTATTAGGGCTGCGTATCGGTCCATTTGGTTCGATTTTGAAGTTTATTGGTTTGACTTATTGGTTATCGGTTTGTAGAGATGTTAAACCGTTATAGAATCATTAAGATATTGACTTATCGGTTATTGATTTATCCGTTATTGATCGTTATCGGTTTAACCGTTAAGATTTGACACAAAAAATATTGAAAATCACTTTAAAACAAGGTGACAAACCAAATGAATCATGCACATGAGTTCACAAGTTACATCTTTCTCAAAAACAAACACTTTTAAATTGTAGAATAACCAAGAGTTTGGGACAACCAGAAATAAAAGTAGGAAACCAAACTCTAAGTCAAGGACTTTGTTTACAAAATGGAATGTATATAATTATTTAATTTACTATCGGGTTATCGGTTAACTCGTTAAGAAAAAAACCTAAAACCGTTAAGAACCGATAACCCGATAACAAAAAAATCAAAACTGTTATCAAAACCGCTAAATCAATAACCCATTACGGATAAACCGATAACATTTTTTCAGTTCTGATTATCGATTTCAATTCGATTTTGAACCGCGCTACTACGTATGCTACTAAAATAGATGTGTCTTTCAGAATTGATAATTTGCTCATCTGTTTAAAGGTGTTTCGAAAATATTTGCAATTTGGTAATTAATTGGATAAATGAATGAATTAATTAAATCAATATAAAATGAAAAAGATTTTGTATAGAAATAAGTTGAATAGGTTATGCGTTTTTAGAGAAAAAATAAGTGCTTTCAAGCCATAGTAAAAAGTAAAAACAATAAAAAAAGTTTTTTTTTTCCCTCAAAACCACTTTTAAAATATTGATCAAGCACAAAGTATAAGATATAGTAATTTATTAAGTTATTTTTATTTATTATAGGAAAAGGTTCAATTATGTTATTGAAGTTTGAGAAAAGGCATGTTTATGCTATTTGATAAGTTTAACTCATTTATGTCATTTTCATTTTAGAAAAAGTTCATCTATGTCGTTATTGTTAACTGAAATGATATAGATGAATGATGAATCAAACTTTTAGCGAATGACATAAATGAGTATTTTCTCAAAGTTCGATTTACATATTTGAGTCGTTTTCCTTTTAAAAAAATAGTTTGATTAATAACGTGGCCGGATATAATTTACCACATGTAAAAAATGATTTTGCAAAATCAGGACTAATTTTAATTAACAAATAGTGACAACTGATGTGTATAAATCTTTCTCAAATAGAAATGACATATATGAGTCAAACTAATGAATAACATATATAAGTATTTCTCAAAATTTAGTGACATATTTTGAATATTTTTCTTTATTAAATTACTGTTTAGAATGAACAATATTAAACAAAAATTATTTCTTTTATATTAATAATATACTACCTTCGTCCACATTTAATTGTCATGATTTTCTTTTTTAAAGTCAAATAATAAATACTTTGACTAATATTTTTCCATCATATTGATATGTAAATTTTTTTTTGCAATTTATAGTACTTGTGTATAGTTTTTTAATATCTAATTTTTTTTGTTTAAAATATTGAATTAATGTAATCTAATTTCACTTAAAAAATTAATTAAATTAACTTTCGAAAATGCAACATAACAATTAAAAGTAGACGGAAGGAGTAACTAAAAATAATTATATATTTTGTTTCTGAATTTTAAATGATAACTATTTTGAGATAATTTTTTTAAATCTAAAATAACAATTAAAAGGGCCCCCAACTAAAGAAAAATGCATTCATGTAGCAAAATCTTATCCAATAAAAAAAAAATGATTCGCTGACTAGGATTCGTGTCAAACTCAAGTCATATTTTTTTTATTTCTCTCGATTTCTCGAATTGACATTTTATTATATTTGAATTCGTACATTTTAATTTTATTTTTTTATGGAAAGTGTTAATATTTGATATTCGATTTTATTTAAAATTGTGCATTATAAGATTCATTTCTAAGTCATTTTGGTTTCTTACTCAATATTCAGTATTGCCTTAAGGTTTGATTAAATTTGAATTCACCAATCACGGAAACTCATTTTGAGAGTAGTGTTGGTATTGGTACTTAAATGAATTTGATTTCTTACTCGATTTTAATGTTTATATTGAGATTCAACTAAATCTATATCCACGCTTTATTTATCTTATTTTTAGAAATTTATTTTTAAAGATTTGAGTATGAAATCTTTAATTAAAATATAAAAATATCCTAATCATTTCACCAACCACATGTTGGTGTATCAAACTCAATTCAAATATTTGTGTCTATAGATAAAGTCTTAACTAATTAATGATGATCAATACCACGTATTTGCCACATACTCAATTTTTTCTTCACTTTTCTACCAAAAAAAATATTAAACAAATTTCCTCATTTTTCGCCTAACAATATATTCCTTAAATTATTTTCGATAGATCCTCGACCCCTCAAATTTTTGCTCCCAAATAATAACCATTCACAAATTATAGGTCTCCTAAATTCAAGAATTATTTGGCAATAAAATCTACTTTTTTATCACCCTTCCAAAAAAAATAAAAAAATCAATGGTCCACATGTAACATTTTTTTAAAATTATAAAACTTACCCTTAATTTAAAGATTCTTAATGGATAACTCTGACACCTTTGTCTCTTCTTATCTAAATCTTATCTATTTTTTCTTATTTTTTTTTCTATAAATAGTCTAACAAATCACCAAACATTTCATTATCCATTCTCTCAAATTGACTCAAATTTGTTATTTTTCATTAATTAAGAAGAAAAAAAATGTTGGCAATATTCAAAAATGGTGTTGTTGATCCACCAAAGGAGTTGCAAAGTCCAGCTTCATTACAAGCATCAATTAAAGCTGCAACACCTGAAGAAACTATGAAGAATTTTTTATCTGCAAATCCAAATAATGGATTTTCTATTGGATTTATGAATAAGGCTTTTTTGGCATATTCTAATCCTTCAACTTCATACAACACTTTGCCAAGGTATTAATCTATCCTTCTTTCTTTTCTTCTAAATTGGGATAATAAAATGTTAATAATGATGGAGCTAGGAATTTTACGAGGGTAAAATGGGGAAAAAAGATACTATTAGTAAGATTTGAAAATGCAATCATTTGTTCATTCGAAATATCTGAAATCATTGGGCTACAATAGTCTCTTGTTTTAAGAGTATCTTAAATATAAATATTTAATTATTTAATGTATCATTTCACTTGTATACCGGATATATTTTTTTTTACCAATGATGTATATGGTTTTTTTTATATGATGCAAAATTATTGATCTTCTTTTTTTGTAGGTTGTTTTGTGGTGTGAATGACATATATTGCATTTTCTTGGGAAGTTTAAGCAACTTGTGTGCTTTAAACAAGCATTATGGGCTTTCAAAGTGTGCAAATGAGGCCATGCTTGTGAGTGAGGCCTATCGGACCCTCCGTGATAGAGGCCCATACCCGGCCCATCAAGTCCTCAAGGAACTTGAAGGTAGCTTTGGATTTGTCATCTATGATCACAAGGCTGATACAGTCTTTGTTGCCCTTGTAAGTATACGTATCGTTTAAGTTATACACATCGTCAACTATTCAAAAATATCATAGGTGCATTTTTAACGAGTCTGACAACATTTCTGGAGAGTTCGAATAGTATATTTATTTTTGTTACTAATTAATGAATGTTATGTATAGGGTGATGATGAAAAAGTTAAGCTCTTTTGGGGCATAGCATTTGATGGATCTGTGATGATATCTGATAATGTGGATCACATTAAAGCAAGTTGTATCAAATCATTTGCTCCATTCCCAACTGGTATGTATATCAAACTTGAAAGTCCTTGCCTATTTTATTTTCGAATTCCATGCCTAGTAGAAGTTTAGTGCATCAATATAACAATTAAATCGCACAAAGGCTTTGGTCATGTGTGGATACAAACATGTGATGAGTGAATTAAACACTTGTTATATGTTTGAATTCAGATATGAACAAAGCCTGATATTTAAGTCGATTAGGAAAGTAAAGGGGCACATGTCCATATTTTATGGGACTTCAAAAAGAAAGAAAAACAATTACATTGCATTATTAGCACTCATAGTTGTTAGGTGTTAGGGCAGATTCAAGATTTGAAATTCGTATGTTTCAACAACGATATCGAGTTTATATAGAATGAGAAATACGTTATCTTAACATATATTCATGGTTTACACAAAGTTGTTGAATCCTCATAAACTCATAAATTACACGTAGATTCGCCTCTAATTTCGATTATGATTGATGTGTTTTTTTAGGGTGCATGTACCATAGTGAAACAGGATTGAAGAGTTATGAACATCCAAGTTACAAGATGAAAGCAATGCCAAGAGTTGATAGTGAAGGTTCAATGTGTGGAGCTTATTTCAAAGTTGATGTTTACTCAAAAGTGAATAGCATGCCAAGAGTTGGAAGTGCAGCAAATTGGGCAACTTGGGGCCAATAGACATAATTTTGGTCGTTTGAGATCTTTGGTCTTTATCTGAATCCGATGAATAAAAAAAAGAGCTTATTTAATAATTGCTTATGTTTTATATTCAAATTGTATTTTAGTTACTTTCAATCTTCTTCAAGGACCTCAACTTTGTAAATTGATAATGAGGTTTCCTAGATGGGAAGTTTTTTTTTTGTTTTTCTTTCTTCTTTTATTTAGTATGTTTTGAGTAGGAAAAACTAATGTGCAAATACTTGGCATTCTAATATGGGCTTATTTGCACTTCTATTTCTATTTTGTGTTGTTTATAGTTTTTGTCATTAGTAATTAATAACTCCTTTATAAGGTATAAGTTTATATTTTTATATCATAATCTTTTATAAGTCATGTCTATACATAATTTTAGATTTGACATCAATTTTATTGCTAAAGAGAATAAATTAATGATCTAACTCATTTAAAAGATAAAATATGTGATTTTATGTCATATATTTTTCTCTTATGATTATAAGTTTTAAACATTAGTAAAAAGCTTAGCTAACATAATGTGTGAAAGGATCTTGAACAATTAAAAGGTAGCATGAGAATCTTTATCTCAATGTCTTCTGCAAGTCGTTCTATTTTTTTAATGAATTTTTTTTAGCAATGTCTTCTGCAAGTCGTTTTATTTTTCTAAAAAAAAACATATTCGTTTAAAAAGAAATTAATTGTAAATAAGGAAATTTAAGAAAATATTCATTTGAAAACAAGTTAAATTGACACTTTTCACCAATAAAATAATTTTTTTGTGACGATAGAATTCAAGAATTACAAAATGAAAAATTGGTACTTTCATTAACAAAATGAAAATTTCGATAGCTAAATTAAACTATACTAGTAAGATTTTTGTGAAAAGAAATTAATGTTGGAATTTCCGCCCATACTTGGGGAAATTTTGCGGTACACACAAGCACCAAATGTTCATTTCCCTAGGTGATTATGTCCCAATCATAATTTTCTTTACCATATATTTGCACAAACATGAATATTCCACGTTTACATTTAGATTTTTGTCTCTGTCTCAAAAATTCATCCAAAAAATAAGTTTGGTACTTAACTTTGTTATTCTAATTTTGTGGATTGATAACATACATTTCATCATATAGATATTTTTTTTGTAATTCATATCTCTTCACTCGTAATAAAAAATCTCTAATTCGAGTCAACAACAAAAGATATCTTACTAAAATCATTACACTTTTCATCATGTAATGTTTGAATTTAAATTTAATTAAATCTCAATACGATCGAGATGGAAAAAGAAAGACGAGTGGGTGGGTGGGGGTGAAAAAAATCCAAAAGGTAGTTGAGAAAAAAAGCGTTTTGACAGAGTGTCAAGTTATATCTTTATCCATCACTATCAAAGCTCTCCATATGAACAAATGAAAATGCTGCATAAGTCTTCTTCTTCTTCTTCATCTATCATTTTTTCCACGACGACGTCGTTTTTCACTGTCAAATCGCCCATATATTTTCCACATTTCTTCATATTCACGGCTCTCCGAAGTCCAAACTCAGTTTTCTGTGTTTTCATCAAAAATTGAAGGTACGTAACAGTTTTTATCTCTCTAAATTATTGTTTAGGATTTGGATTTAGCTAACTACAGTTTGATTTGCTGAATTTTGTGTTTTTTTCAAAAAAATATTTTTGTTGCTCCGGTTGATATCAACAGAATTATTGATTCAGAATTGTTCATTTTCGAAGCTCCATAAACACTACGTTTGAGGATTTGAATATAGCTAGCTAAAATTTGATTTCCTGATTTTTTTTAAAAATTTTGGTTGCTCCTGTTGGAAATTGCTGGCTAGGTTGACATCAACAGAATAATTGACTCATAATTGTTCATTTTCGAAGTTCCAAAAACACTATGTTTGAGGATTTGAAATGAACTAGCCACAATTTGATCACTGATTTTGGTGGATATTTTGTTTTTTCTCTATCTGTATTAGTACATACTATTTAGGATTTGGATTTAACTAAACTAGAATATGATTTCCTGATTTTCGTGTTTTTTCTTGCTCCTGTTAAAAATTGCTGGCCAGGTTGAAAACAATGTAATAATTGACTCGAGTGCAATTCTAAACTCATAATTGTTCGTTTTCGAAGGTGCAAACACTATGTTTGAGGATTTGAATTGACCTGGCTACAATTTGATTTTCTGGTTTTGGAGGATATTTTGTTTTTGTTTTTCCTAAAAATTGCTGGCCATGTTGATCACAGTGAGAACTTAATTAAGTTTTAAGTGATTAAGCTACAAAAAGTTTCTAGTCATGCTGATGAGTAGTATAGAGATTAATTAAGTTTGAAGTGATTAAAGCTGAATATGAGATGTAGGAGTTTGAAGTGATTAAAGCTGAAGATGAGATGGAAGTTTTATCTTAGAGCTGTAAAAATATGACACTTGGGCCTAACTCAACCCCAAAAGTTAGCTTATGAGTGGAGGATTGTTCAAGTCCATATAAGCAGACCACCAACTCATTCCCCAACCAGTATGGGACTTACCCACTCTAACAAGAGCAAATTGGAAAACAGTGATATCACTGGTCAGAACGGGAGCCTTGGCGCAACTGGCAAAGCTGCTGCCATATGACCGGAAGGTCACGGTTTTGAGATGTGGAAACAACTTCTTGTGGAAATGTAGGATAAGGTTGGGTACAATAGACCCTTGTGGTCCGGCCCTTCCCCAGACCACGCATAGCGGGAGCTTAGTGCACCGACCACCTTTTTTTTTTTTTTATATCATTGGTCAAGAATTTTGATTTTTGGTACGTTAGCTTAGAATACAACAACATACCTAGTGCAATCCCACAAATGGGGTCCGGAGAGCGTAGAATGTATGCATACCTTACCTCTACCTTTGTGGGACAGAGTGGTTGTTCCCAATAGACCATCGGCTCAAAAGAAATGTTATTGAAGCAGGATTGCAAGAGTATGTTAGCTTAGAATACTTAAAATTTTAAAATATGCACATGCTCACTATTTTTTAGATGGGCAAAAGCTTAAATATGTTACATTTTGCTGAGTTTTTTTAGGGTTTAAAACCGTATTTACTTGTACTAAATCGTTTTTAGATGGAATATAACCCATCAAATGACTCAAGTGCAATCTCCTCTCTGTTTTAATTCTTTGGTTACCTCAATGCATCAGAGTCATCAGCTTTCTTTGCACTTCAATTACTGTTCTACTTTTAAAAACGTTTTCAGAAATATAAGTTTGATGATGCTTGAATGTACTTATTTTGGTCTTGCTGATTTGGGTGATTTTCCAATTCACATGGATTTTGGAGTAAATTGATATGCATATAAATTTGTAGGCTGTGATGCATATATGTATAGTAGTTTATGTATATATGTGTTTTTATGCAATTTCTTTCTTTTTGGGTACCGAGAATGTTGAATTTTAGCTAATTGTTTCCTTCGTACTTAATCAAAAGAAACTTAATACATTAACTGTGGAATGCCTAAATTTCCAATAGTCAACATGAGTTGTAGGCCATATATTTGGTAATGAAATGTGTTTCTTTTAAAATTGGTGTGATACATCAATCCTAAACCAGTTGGTGTTAGTTATATGGTTCCTCGATATCCATTTTGCTCCATTTGGTCCTGTTTATTCCACTTCTCATTTTTTCAAAAAAAGAGAAAGAAAAGAGAAATGATAATTTTCCTTTGATATCTCACAACTGTGAATATTTTCACTTGTCACAGAAAAATTGGGGATGGTTAACATGTAATTCTAATGTCAAGAGGCACTATGGTCAAGTAAGGAACCTACTAAAGTATAGATTGAAATGAATTGCAGCTGCTTTGGTGCCTCAACTCAGCGGCAGAAAAGGGGTGTTGATCTTGTTCATCAAGATACTGCAGGTTGGTGCATAGTTGAATCTTGGATATTAGCTGATCAGTTGTGTTCTCAGTTGAGTGAACTTTTTAGTTGTTTGATGAATTTGTCACAACTTTATATTGCCTTCAGTGTTAACCCTTATATTCCTCTATAGCTGGTTGATCTGTATGTGGCATTTTGATTTATCATGATTGTCGCGGCACTCTGTAGCTGTAAATCACTCCAATTCATTTTCTCTCTTTCCTTATCTAGTTATCTAATATCCCTTAGACTGCTGTAATCACAGGGCTTATGCATAAATGCACTCAAGATTATTTGGTTGTCTTCTCCCTTGCTCTTTTATTTGGCCCTCTCTGAATATCTTTGAGCTGCCTTTACATATTTGCAATTCTGAAACTTCTTACATCCATTTTGTGGATACGAGTTCTTTAACACTTCCAGCTCACTAATCAGTAATCATTGCTTATTTTAAACTAATTGACCTGCTTTTTGTAATTTATGCACCAACTTAAACAAGCGTGTAATTGTTGAGTTGTCCACGTCAGTTGTGGGGTGTGGATTTGATCTCTTTGTATGGTCCTGGACAATCCTCGTTTTATGATGTAAAGATATGGCACCTGAGCCTAACTCAACCTCAAAAGCTAGCTCATGAGGGGAGGTTTGTCCAGGTCCATATAAGGAGACCAAATTCTCATCCCTCTATCGATGTGGGACATCTTAACACTCTCCCACATGCCCAGACCTCAATTGGAGCGTGAACACTTCTAAATGGGGGCCCATCATCGGTGAACAACAAATTGGGATGGGCTTGGCTCTAATACCATGTAAAGATATGACACATGGGCCTAACTCAACCTCAAAAGCTAGCTCATGAGGGGAGGTTTGTCCAAGTCCATATAAGGAGACCAAATTCCCATCCCTCTACCGATGTGGGACATCTTAACAATGAGTTAACTTTTTGGGGTTGAGTTAGGTCCAAGGTCCATTGCTTATCATGGTATCTGAGACAAATCCATCTTAATTCTTAGTTTAACCCGGTATTGGACCCCCATATTATGTTGTCTATACTCCAGTTGATAGGCCCCTGAGCGGGGTGGGGGGAGGGGGTGTTGAGTTTTTCCATGCCTATTGTGGATTTGGTCTCCTTATATTTTTTTAGGTGAATCCTCACCTCCTGATCTAGCTTTTGTATTTGAGTTGGGTCCGAAATCCATTTCTTATCAGTAACGAATGGAGCGGTTTGTACACTAAATGAAACCTATTTATTGGTCAGTTGTTTGTGAATCATTAGAAATAAAACCTTCTCTATGTTTGCCCCTCGGGATTGTGGCTTAGTGGTAAGAGTGTCGCAAGTGATGTTTGGGTTAGATGCACATCACGAGTTCGAATTCTGCTGTGACCAAGAACCTGGTATCTAAGTGAAAGATAGAGGGTCGTGTCCATTATTTACCGAGTTTCAAACTGTATATGCCAGCTGGCCCTCAGAGTTTTCATTGTTATATTTTAAGAAAACATTTTCCATGTCAACAAAATATGCTACAACCATGTCAAAATGGACATTGCTTTTGCTATTTTTAGTGCCCAAGAGAAGTGAAGCAGACTGACAGATTATTTAGATAGAAATAAATTAAAAGATAACATATTATAACCAGACATAGTAAATCTAGTAATATAAGTATGCAAGAATAATTAGAAGCTGAAGTGGGAATTGATATTAGTGAATGCATGTGCAAGGTGAGATTAAATGGGAAGCCAAAGGGAAAGACAAAACTTAAAATATGATATAAAATAGTAATTTTATGAAGCAATCTACCGTTAGTTACTTCAGATATGAACTGCTAATTTTGTTGAAGAAAGAAGAAGGCATTTCTAAGAGAGGTATATCTCAAGTACAGAAGGTAAATGCCTCTGCTCGAAAGACAAATGCCTGTATGGAGAATGGCCTTTCGGGTTGCTTTGAGTGTCTTACTAGGCTGGTCACACGTAAAAACAAAGTGGCTCCAAGAACCTCAAATATGGATGAAGAATGAGGATCTGGTTTGGAAATCTGTGATTAGGAGCGAATCTAATATGATACTAGTGTATATATATAAGCTATATAGATGATGACATGTTCCAGAAGCAGTTGACATTTTGATCTTGGTCCAAGGGGTCAATTTGTACTTTGCCTTTGATTCGAAATGTAAAGAAAAAAGTCCATCAATCAATTACACCTCAATCTGATTAGTTGGGGTTGACTATGTGACCAATCTGTCCAGTATTTAGAGAATTCATATTATAATTAGACTGTTTTTTACGTTGGCCGTCAAGTGATTGCACCCTTCTCCGTTATCCAGCTTGGACAAGGTATGCTTTGCAAAGCACATAAAAGGACTTGCTCCAAATTTGCTCCGGAATCTGGAAAAATGGAAATTCTCTTACACTAACTAATGTGGTAGGTGTAATCATCAAATAGTATCACAACGAGCGAGAAGAAGAACTTTGAGTATTCCACTAACTAGCTTGCACATATATCTGATTCAGATCATCTTATAAATGGTAAGGATAAAAGGATTGGTCAAGTAGCACCAATATTACTTACTTTGATTAAAAAAAAGTTTACTGTACCAAGTGATGTGTAAAAAGTTATACAGAGGCCATGCATCAATTCTCACAGTTAAAGGATGAAAAAGTTCCATCTAGTGGTTGTTTCCGGGGCCACCATGAAAATTTGGTGAAGATGCAATGTCTTACACTCTATTCTTGGTCAAAGTTTGACGCCTTACATTTGTTGCTTAAGATATACTTCTATCCATCTCTTATCTGCAACAACTGTAATCTTTACCTTCTTTTTCATGGACACACTAATATTTTTTCTGTCAGGCCGCTCCACTGCAAAGACAAAGAATATTTCATACAGTGAATTACGAAGAGCAACCAACAACTTCCATCAAAGTAATAAAATAGGGCGAGGAGGTTTTGGAATAGTATACAAGGTTCAACTCTATCCTATAAATACTTCTCCCCATTTATATGCCTGAGCTTTATTGCATGGACAACTTCCATTTGCATGCGACTCGCATGGTGCAATTCACAGAATTACATTGCCAAAACCTTTAGATGTTTATCTGCAGTTCTCCAAAATTTTGTATTCCAAACTTGTTACTACTTACGATGTGATTAGCTTTTCATATTTTCTGCCTCTTAAAGAAAGTTGTTTCAGAAACATTTTAGGTCCTGCACCTGCCAGTGTCAGTTCATGGTTTTTGCATATATGTAATATGACATCAAGACTTTTAGTGAACAAAGTCCTTGGACTTAATTCTTATGGTGCATTGCCATGTTTGTTGAATGATGATTCAACTTTAGTGCAACTTTGTAGGGAACTCTAAGAAATGGAATGGAAGTTGCTGTGAAGACGCTTTCTGCTGAATCGAGACAGGGGTTGCGTGAATTTTTGACAGAGATTGAAACTATATCAGATATCAGACACCCCAATCTGGTTGAGTTGATTGGATACTGTCTTGATGGAACTAACCGGATCCTGGTCTATGAATATTTAGAAAATAAGAGCCTTGATCGAGCACTGTTTGGTAAATTTGCTTGGAATCAAAGAAGTACTTCACCATCTATGAATGGGGTACTGAAAATGGTGCTTGCTTTGCAGGTTCTAGTACAAGTAATATCAAATTAGACTGGGACACAAGGGCTGCTATTTGCTTGGGTACCGGTACTGGTCTTGCTTTTCTACATGAAGAATTAGTGCCACATATAGTGCACAGGGACATCAAAGCTAGTAATATACTACTTGATAAGGATTATAAACCAAAAATTGGAGATTTTGGACTGGCAAAGCTTTTTCCAGATAATATCACTCACATCACCACGCAGATAAAAGGAACCACGTATGTCTCCTGAATTTCTTGCTGATGCTTCAATGTTTTCCGTGGCTATACTTGATATCACCATTCATCCGTGAGTTCGGTGAGCGTGAGTGTTGATTATTTTAGAGGTTGGGTATCGTTATAAATCTTTTATATACACCTTTTAAATAAGTAGAAGGTACTTTTTCACCAGGTGTGTTTGGAACGAAGGAAAATATTTTCCATGGAAAACTCTTTGAAAATAAGTGATTTTCTTATTTATTTTTGGTGTTTTGTAAGTATGCAGAAAATAGTCTCAAAGCATTTATTATAATGTAGGCAAACACTATGTGAGTGGGGGTGGTGGAGGTTGGGGGTTATTGGTGGTAGAGGGGTGGAATGGGGTGTGTTAAGAGGATGGGAAGGAGTGGAAAGTCACTTAGGAAAATTGTTTTCCTACTCCATTAGAGTAGTCATTTTTCTCATTTTTAAGTAACTTGTTTTCCTAGAGAAAATATTTTCTAACCATTTTGACCAGCCAAACATGGGAAAATTGGAGAACTGTCTTGCCATATCTAAATTGATTCTTTATTTTTTTTTAAGAACTGTCTTGTCTGAACTGTGTTTACTCATATTTTACCTCTTCCGGTGGTCAAGAATCAAGAACAAATGTTCCTCATAGCACCTTGCTACCCCTTGCCTGATATATGTGTGTATTGGTCGTATGAATTCACCGTCTTTACCCTATTCTTGTACGTATATTGTGTCAACTAAGAAAAGTAGTGGATTCTATAATCTGCCTCGAACTACTGAAGTTCTGAATGTTTGGTGTTAGAGAACCCAGGTCTCATGCTTTAAATTTTGAAATGGTGTCATGGGGTAACTGAAAACAGTGTTCTTATTTCTACATCTTTTTCTTTTCCAAACAGTGGCTATCTGGCACCTGAATATGTAATGGGCCGTCAATTAACATCCAAGGCTGATGTTTACAGTTTTGGGGTCCTAGTACTTGAAACAGTAAGTGGCAGGAGTAGTAGCAGTGGGACATGGCAAGGGCAGAAGTTACTCCTTGAATCGGTGGGTATAATTTTCAAAGTCGTTAATTTCTTTCTAGATATGCATTCTGGTTCTCAATAGCATTAATAGTCTATAGCATGATTTGTTTACTTGCATTTGCTACTATTATTTTCATATACTGATTATTGTTATTTAAAAATTGAAAATTTCTAAGCATGTCAAGATGTGATTCTATAGATAATAGGGGTGAATCTATCTATGATAAGTATATATTAATCAGAATCTGTCTCAATCTCAAACTAATTTGGATGGTTGTTGAATATTGAATTACCCATCATGCTCTATTTGGGGGAAATTTCTTGCCAATACTATAAATAAGTAGTCTTGTAAAAATCTCCATTTGGTGAGTGTATGATTTATCTTTTATTACTCCTCCTAGTGTTGTGCAAAGTGAACAGTTGTTGGAGTTTTACCAAAATCAATACGGTTTTAGCTATAACAGAAGATGTTGGAAGCAAAGGATCTACATAGACAAATACCAACTAGTCTGAATTAAGGTTTGGTCACTGTTATTACACTTATATTAGGTTCCTTGTATTAAAATTACTCTAACATTAGGTCCATCGTTTACCAGTAGTCTTTTAGTCTTTGGTCTCGTTAGAGGTTTATCCATTAGAGTATGAATATCTGTGAGATTTAGAGAACCTCTTATTTACTAGTACTGGAATGAAATGAGCACAAATAGAGTGGAATGGAAATGGAGAATTCATACACTTGACTCTAAGGCATAGTTGTTTGGAGTCTCAAATAAAAATGTGTGCTTGGTGAGATTTAGATTCAGAGTGACGGAAAAAAAGCATGAAAAGAAAATTTGAACCTGCTTCACCAATTTGGGATAAAGGCCCCAAGAGTGCAAATGGAAAATGCTGTTACAAAGTTGAGCTGATCCAACAAGGTATTCATTAGTAAAAATGCTACTTACAGCTATAGGAGATTGTGCCGACTATCAAGGATTCATGTTATTCCGGGACGGAGGATCTAAAGCCCAATTGTCCAAGTTGTTGTACCAAATAGGTGCTGTATGATTGTTCAGAAATGTGGTCTTTATTTCATTCTTGGACTTTGGTTTAGGGGGGTGAGTGGGTGCGTCGTCAAGGAAGGCTACCGAGAGGTGTTTCTGAAGTTAATTTTTCTTGTATGAATTTCTATGTGGTCTTTCTTTCAGTCTTGGATTTTGGTTTAGGGGGGTGAGTGGGTGTGTCGTTAAGGAAGGCTACAGAGAGGCGTTTCTGAAGTTAATTTTCTTGTATGAATTTCTATCTGTTTACTTCTAGATGTCCTCACTTGATTCGCTGATACTGCTATAATATAATAATTGAACCACTCACATCATAGTAGTAGTGTAAAGGCCGTAAGCCGGGAGGCAGCCATATAGTTGTCTTCACGATCATTTACCAGTCATACAAATAGACAAAGAGTAAGCAGCAACAACAACATACCCAGTGTAGTCCCACACAAGTAGGGTCTGGGGAAGGTGGAGTGTACGCAGACCTTACCCCTACCTCAGAGGTAGAGAGGTTGTTTTCGATAGACCCTCAACTCAAGGTAGACGAAGAGTAAGCTACACCAAGAAATGTGAGAATACACTGCTATGTTGTGGTTTTGCTAGTTGAATCTTGCAGTTTTCAGGCTAAATAGTGAGGAAACTTTTCAAGGTTACAACAAAGTACAATCCGTTCCTTATCCTTTTTGTCTTCTTGCGAATTTATGATATCTGGTCTTGATAATACAGTTTCTGACATTCTTGTAACTGCCAAAGGTTTTTTTTTTTTAATCTAATGACAAATCGAATTACAATTTACTGAATCAGGCATGGGAGTTCTACGAAGAGGGAAGGCTGTTAGAGTTAGTTGATCCAGAAATGGGCGATTTTCCAGAAAAAGAGGTCCTCAAGTACATTAAGGTAGCTCTCTTTTGCACACAAGAAAAGGCAAATCGAAGACCGATGATGAGCCAGGTTCTTGACATGCTCACAAGAAACATCAAGCTAAACGAGAAAGAACTCACACCACCAGGATTTTTCCAAGATTCGGGTGGTTTTAGTAGCTCACAACTAAAACTGAAGTCATCTGAAAGCAGCACAAGTCATCAAATGAGTTCTGTGCCCCTTACAATCACTCAGGTGACACCTAGATAATCAATTACTCTTTGTGAATGGCAATTGAATTTATTTAGGAAGAAATTATTATTACCCCGCGGGGCTTTGGTCAGTGATAAGGATGCAACACGTGATATGTGGATTAAGTGCACTTCATGAGTATGATCGTGCAGCAAATGAAGTCTAGTATTTAAGTCGGAAAGAGGATATATGGAAGGTCCATACACCCCGGAGTTTCGAATGTGTGCACCAACTAGAGTTGTGGCAGAAGCCAGAAGCCAGAAGCCATAGGAAATTCACTAAATGATACTCTATTTTTCTTTCTGATTATTTGGTTTTGTCCTTAAAGGAGTTCGTGTTTTCATCAATCTAAAGAGTCTCTTCTCTTGTATGCATAGAATGAGAAGACAAGTCAAATTGTATAATCTTTATTTTTAAAATTTTATTTTACTTCTTTTTTCCCTTCAGTCTAAGGTCTATTTAAACGGCCTCTTTACAGGTAAGGTCTGCATACGCTTACTTTTTCTTTCTGATGTATTCTCGTCTTCGTATGTGATACTACTTCTCATTGCACCAAGTGGTGTGTGCTCACAACGAGTGGTATACAAAAATGATTTTTGCCTCACTTGTTGGATAAAAACTTCAAGTTTAACAATTTTTTTACTTTTGGTCTTGGATTTGCTCATGGGTCAAGCGGGTTCATTCCAATTTATGTGATATAATTTAAAATCTTCGGAAAAACAAACTTTTAAACATGTGATCATCCCATAGCATTTGCCTTTTTAAACTTGTGATCTAGAATCTACTCCATTATTAAGAGCGAAATGAAATACTTTAAGGTGAAGTACTAAATACAAAGATGTATCAATCATTTTGTGATAGTTTGAAAAAAGAAAATGATGTCAAACAATTTGAGAAAGAAGGAATAGTTTTAGTGCCTCTGTAACACATAAAATCATGACATAAAATGATACAAAATGGAGCCTCTAGGTCAGCCACAGAACCCACAAAGATAAAGAAAGTTAAAAGATTATCAACATTAGAGAGAAAAAAGCTTTCTATGAACATGAAAATCGTCTAGACTGCGATTACAAATAAAAGATCTTGATGTTTAGAATAACAAAATGCAGCTGCATTCTCCTTGAATCAACGGAATGTTAGCAAGGCACAGAATACGGAGTACCCAAAATGGATGTTTTCTTGTCCCTCAAGAGAATAAAGAGACCTCTGCAGTAGCAGCAGGTTCTAGTGTCTGAGTAATTGCCTGATCAACACTGGATTCACTAGCAGGTACGCTGTCTCCGGTAGCAGGTGCAGTTCCCTCAGTTGCTGCATCTTTAGTGTTCTTAGCATCTTTTCCATCCTTACCAGCTTTGTCATCCTTGACAGGTGCGGGTGGTGGTGGTAGCATATGAGGTGGTGGGTTGTGCTTAAGCTTCACCAAGATGTGACGCATCCTTGAAAGATCGGTGGGTTTTCCAGGTTTGGGTCCTTGGACGACTGTGACGGATGGTTTCTTCTCTTGATCCTTCTTCCTTCCTTTCTTCTCAATATTCGGAACCTCATTAGGAACGAGCTCCGCTATGGCTTTCCAATACTGTTTGTCAGCTTCTTTGTGGAACTTTTCTTGATTAGCTACATACACCTGTTTCAACAGGAAATAAAAGAAAAGGAAAAACAAAACAAAATTTAGAGATATGGGAACATTGTAAGAGTGAATAGGGTGGAACTGACAGCTCCCCGAAAAAAAACTTACATTCTCTTTGTCTCGGTTGTTAGTCTTATTGGCCTCAATATTGAGCTTTCTTTTCTCATAGAATGCTTTCTTATGCTCTTCGCCTTCCTCGATAATTTGGTTTCTGATTTCTTTTTCCCTTTTCTCATTCTCCTCAAGACGGACAGCATTTTGCCTGCATCCCCCAAAACACAAATTATAACGAATCTAATAAGGAAAATAGTATTCAGGGTACCATTTCTGTTTTCATGACAAATATTAACTGTTATCAATTATCGGAACAGAAAAAGGAGAAACTGATTTGAATCCAGCCAAAAGCATCAATGGACTCTGATACCTATCACACATCGACCTCACCCTCCACGCTACTTCTTCCTTTTTATCTTTTAAAATTATTCTAAAAGATCAAGAAGGGAAGCACCTTTTGCATAACCAATTGACGATGATCCAAAGTAAGTCCACATATGCCTCTGACATTATCATATGAACAAGATCAACATTAATGACTTGTTATTCTCCTTAACCAAAATGGAATTACCTATACTGCCAACTGTTTTCATTTTTCCCGCACTTCTAATTATCCTTTAAATTTGGCAATGAGTCGACTCCAATACAATAAAAATATCCAGCAAATGAAAGGATAAAAGAAAATCATTTGACCCTACTCCCTAGGGACTTCAACAAATTACCGAAGTTTTAGATCTAAAGGTGGAAAGGGAAGAATAACACAAAAGAAACCATATACTACAAACGTTATTATTGCTCCAAGAACTATACCGGCAATCCAATTTCAGGTTACTATGCTTCTTGAGAGTCAAACCTACATTCTTTGACTGCGATATTATAAACATTTCACAATTGATTGAAAAATCAAACTGTCCAATAGAGTTCCTTTAAACTAATCTTCTTTTGTATTGATTCTATTTCTAAAATGCTGATAATCATCATCAGATTTCAAGCTAAAAATCATCAACTTTCAAATACCACAGTTCTTTTATTTGTGTTCTACTATTAGTTAACTAGTTAAATGGATACATAGTCAAAGACAACCAAGATGCTTGCCCATTTAGAGTCTCCACTAGTTTATGATTAATATGTACTATATCATCTATATCACAAATAGATCATCTCGAAGTAATAGTATTGTGTTCTTAAAGCAACAGTAACTATATCATCTATAACAGAAAATACTCAAAATAACAAACTGATTCTCCTGCAAACAATGACTAGCAAGATAAGTCCAATGTGTTTGGGATTTGGCCTTTCACATTTGGTTCAGTGGTTGCCAACTTCACTTGCTCTAGAGCAGGCAAAGTTCAATTCCTACAGAAAATCTCCTTCCCACTACCCGCGAATCAACATCCTGGCCATGGTACTCAAAAAAAAAAGAAAAGGAAACAAGAGATCTAGCTAATTTTCATGAAATACTAACAAAAAAATTAAATTTTTTCACCTCTCATTCTTGTTTTTGCGAGGCTATCAAATGAATGTTTTTATCCCCGATAAAAACGCCAATTAACTAAGGAAGAAAAATAATAAAACTTGCAGATCTACTAGGGTCCGACATCAGATCTGCTAAGTAATTAAAAGAAGTGGACATCAAATCACAGTTGTGGCGACTGATTAGTCCAAGCAACTAAGACTTACCAACCAAAATAAAGCCTAATCTTATTGATATTATTGTCAATTCTAGCAAATTACCAAATATAAACAGATCTACCAAAATAATTTATATCTAAGGGAAGCATATGCAGAACAGGATCCAAATTGCATAAACTTATTTTAACGAAGAGAATACACAATAGTATTTAACAGATATTATATCAAGGACTCATATAGTTGACTCTAGCTAGTTGGGGATCAAGTAGTAATTTTATTGTAGTAATAAGCAAAATTCAAATTCCAGAAACAAAAGCAAAGCTAACCTTCTCCATTCGCGTAGGGCTAAACCTTCCTCTCTCATTTCACTAGGAGGAGGAAGTACCGGTCCATCGGAGCTGAAAATTCCTTCAGAATCTTCACCGAAATCGTAAGCCTTACCATTTCCATCAGCGATCGGAGTCTCAGAGTCACCAAAAGGAGTTGATTGACCCGACCCGAACCCGTAGGGATCGGGATTGTTGACTGTGTGAGAAACGTGATCTACTGTAACTTCCTCATAAACCGGCGTGTCGGCGGCGGAGTAGTTGCCGTCGTGGAAGGAAGGACTTGCCGCCGTCGCCACAGAGTCATCGCCGTCCATGCTGATCGAATCGAACGAAGCCATTTTCTTCTCTTCTGTGCTTTCTCTCTGTTGTATTGGAATTTTGGATCCCTCTTTATATACTTGTCCTCAAAAGCTTAAAAAAAGAAAGAAGAAAATAATATCTATTTTAAATCTTCGCAAAATCTTGGAGTAAACTTTATAAATTTCGTATTTTATTATTTACATAAAATTTTGAGTTATATCAAATTCAAAAGGAAAAAAAAGGTTTAAAACTCACTTTATTATCTTCAATTCACAAAATTTGATAAAAAACTTATTTAAAAGTAAAATTATTAAAATTTCAAACTTCTTCGTTGATGTGTCTATTTCATATTGAAAGTATTTTTAGAATTTTACCATCAGCTGTTTTATAAATATTTTCTTACTAATAATTTGATTCTACATTATAAAAGAATATTTTATTAAATAAATAAAATTTAATATCAACAAAATTTTAATAAATATATTTTGAAATCACTTTGGTACAAGACTTTGTTCTATAGGTAATAAAAATAAAAAGGGAAAAAGCCTCTCTAGACTATGATTCAAATTTCAGAGATACACTTTCATTAAAATAAGGTCTTATTACCCCTGAATTCATTTTTTTTTGTAATTTTATATACCTTTTTGGCTTACGTGACATTCAAATATATCACACGCGCCTCAACTGCGTGGAGTCACGAGGTGTGTCACATAAGCCAAAAGATGTATAATATTATATAAAAATGAATTCAGAGGCAATATAACCTTAATTTAATTAAGATATGTCTCTGAGATTTCGATCATAATCTAGAATTACTTGTGCCTTCTCCCAAATAAAAAAAAAAATTTGCTCTGTAAATTCGAAATTCTATAATAGGATGCGTTACTTTAATGTGCGTATAGATGGCCGAATAAAAAAAATTATTCTATTCAGTTGGCTCAATAAAACAATAGAACTACCCCATCTCTACTTGATTAGGGCTGATAACGATAACTTTCTCCGATCAATTATCGAATCTCTAATCGGCCGGAAGTATGACGGCTGATGTACCAAACACCGTCGGCTATGCTAACGGAGATTTGAAATCCAAACACACTGATGCTAACACCGGCTCTAGGAAATCAAAGGTGAGCGAGCGGGGCCGTAGGCGGCGGAAGCAGAAGAAAAACAATAAGGTACCGTCTCGTGGAGTAGATAGTGACACAGCCGCTACCGACGAAGCTAATGGCGGTGCTGGTGATACTGATAAGGAGAATTCCGATCTACAGAAGGTATTTCTGGATTAATCTGAGGTGTAGTTGATGAGTAATTGTTTTAGTGGAGATATATATTTTATGAATTATTTAAGCATCTGTGTTGATCTTTCGATGAATTAGGTTTTATAAATTGGAAATTATAACAATAACATGTCCAGTCAGGGTGATGTGTATGTAACCTTACTGTCCTTATCCGTACCTTCGTGTCGTAGAGATACTGTTTTCGATAGATGCTCAGCTCAAGTGAAGCATATAGAAAATAATGTAGCAATAGTAGGAGAATTACTAATAATACTACTGATAAGGGAAATGAAACAACAGTGGACTACTTACTAACCTTCTATACTATTCCTCAACCTCTCCATATTCTCCTATAAGTTGGGAATGATGAAAATAAGAATAATTAGAGTAAGTATTCGTGTCAATTTTTCTTGTTCCTAAGTTCAGAGTATATTCGAAGATGTTTACTGAAACTTGATTCATGCAATTCTAGTTTCTCAATATGAGTATTTTCAAGCTGAAGTGTGTTAAACAGTCTTAGTAGGAGCATCCTTAAAGGCTCTATTTTTACTGATAAAATCAACGACCTACCTAGTGTAATCACATAAGTGGATCTGGGGAGAATGGTGTGTGTGCAGCCTTGCCCCTACCTTGTGGAGGTAGATAGACCGTTTCCGGTAGACCCTTCGCTCAAGTGAAGCATGTACAAAACAAGTATGGAAAGGAAATACCGTAGTAAATGACGCTAAAAATAAAGGAGAAGGGAATAGTAGCAACAACAGATACTACTGTAATCGAAGGAAAGGAAACAACATATAATATTATTGAATAAGCAATATTTATATAGGTGGATATCTAATGTGGCAGCTTGAGCGGCACACCTTGGTAAGCCTGCTTATCAAGGTTACAACAATGGGTTCCAACTGAGTGCTGTAGATAAGATTTGAAATTGAGTTCTATAGGTTTTACTCCTAAGATCAATTACTCAGTCATTCCCTTGGGGACTACTATATGGTTACATATAGTATAACATGGAATTATGATTTATGCATATGTTCTCACTTGAGTCTTTTGATGATCTCTAAGGATTTTCTCCCAAAAAATGAATACCTTTTCTTCTTTGACATTGTTGATTGAGCTGGGTTTTGTTTTCCCGGAGTAGTGGATGTTGAGTTATTTTTATGATTATTCTCATATTTCAAAATTATATTTTTCTGATTTTTCTTGTGTTTCAAAATTATGTGCATGTGAGAGTTTTATCTAGAAGATCCTGTTAATTTCTTGATACACATTTTTTAGGGTTAATTGTAGCTGTTTGACCTAATTACTACCATGTGTATATAGGCCTAAATATAATTTACTAATGATATGGTCTTCTTTTTTATAAAGCTGATGATATGGTCTTCTTTTTGATAAAGCTAATGATATGGTTTCTTTTATTACTATAGGGTAATTGCTTTGCTTGTGTTATTTTCTTTTGCATGGTATAGTGTGTATAAGCATTGTTTATTTGTGAATCTCCAAGGTCCAGCTAGTTATTAAGAAAAACAATGTTCGCCTATTTGTCATTCTGAGGAAAAAGGATGTCTGATGTAGGTCAGTTCCATCATAGCTTGGCTATAGTTAATTTGTTTTTTTCCAGCTGAAGACGTGCATGAACTTCTATTTTGACATGCCTCGTCTTTTTCGAGAAACTTTTTGTTATATGTTGGGGTCTGTCCCAGAGTTTTTATTGTTTGATAAAATAGTACTGTTTCTAAAAGATACCTTAGTTGTAATGTATTTATGAATTTTTTATACATTTATGGTGTTTTATAAAGTAACATGTATTTTCTGAGCTACTGATCTTGAACTTGCTTTGGCCTCATCTTCTGCAGTCCCTGGTGGTGGAGCAAGTTGAAGTGGAATATGTCCCAGAGAAGGCAGAATTAGATGGCGAGTTGGATGAGGAATTCAGGAAGGTTTTTGAAAAATTCAGTTTCACAGCTGCTACTGGTTCTGAGGTAAAAAATAATTCATTTTTGGTATATGATGCTATGTGAACTCTGAGTCATTACCTGATCTTTTTGTTGGGCCTCCAATCTCCTTATATCTCTCAAGTTGTTGAAATATATTACCGCAGTTCAAGAATTTTCCATTTGCATAACTTTTTATTGGAATATCAGGAGAATGATAAAAAGGACGAGACTGCTGCCGATGCCGCCTTAAAGAAAAAGGATGATTCAGATTCGGAGGAAGAGCAAGATGCTCAGCCAAGGGAGAAGGGTATTTCTAACAAAAAGAAAAAGGTCAATATCAACTTCTATTTGCTGTTGTAGTTAGCTACTTCTATTGTTCACCTTGAGTAGATTAAGACTGAATCACTTCTCAATTTCAGCTTCAACGTAGGATGAATATTGCAGAACTGAAACAAATCTGCACGAGACCTGATGTAGTTGAGGTATGGATAGGTGGCAAACATTACATATTATTATTTTGTTTTGATACTTGCGAACTTTGCATATTAGTATATTTATTTACCCTATGCAGTTTGGGGAATGTACATTTCTCTGTTCTCAGCTAAAATAAGGTTGTATCTCTGGCGAACAACCTAGTTTTGTGTTTTTCTTATCCTTTCACAATCATGCTGTATCAGCAAGTCCCTAAGAGTTCCTTGTCCGTGCCCTTTCTAATATCTGCTTTGTCTTTTGTTGTGTTTCTATGCTTTGAATCAATTAACAAATGTGGAACCATATGAGCGCTAGTATATTATTGCTATGAAAAAGGTCAAAATGCTCATACAGCAAAGGTAGTTGATATTATCCTCTTCATAAATTTATCCTGGGGCAGGCCAAAAGATTTTTTCTTTCTGTTATCCTCCTACTATTAATTGAGCACTTGTCCAGAAGAGTCATCCCACCTAAAAATTAACCAGATCTGGGCATGAACTTCATACCAACACCTTTTCCATACATAATCCCAATGAAAGCGTCAGCATAGCATAGATGAGATCCTCTTATGATAATAAGTGTTGTTTAATTTCATCATCATCTACATTATAGTCATCATCTTTTCCTTCTCCTCAGACTGGAACCAGCTTTTGCATGATCTGATGCAGGTTCTTTTGCACCCTTGGATAGTTTTACATTGATTTCTTGTGTATTCGGCATCTTACTTGTCTTGTTTTGACTACTGCCATTGACTTCTGTAGTAAATTACTGTTCTAACTGTAGACTTTTTTCTTTATTGGTGTGTTGTATGTCGTTTAGGTATGGGACGCTACTGCTGCAGACCCTAAGCTTTTGGTATATCTGAAATCTTACCGAAATACTGTTCCTGTCCCACGACACTGGAGTCAAAAACGAAAATTTTTGCAGGTCAGTTAACACTGCTTATTCATATATTTAGGTTGCGAACATTTTGAAAAGAAAAAGAAAAATAGGCCAATGTTAGTACATAGTGCACAATATTTTGTACCTCTTCCACTTCATGTAACAATTAACAAGGATAGAACTGGGTTAAATTTTAGAGGGTTTGGTTTGGGAAGGGGATGATGGGATAAAGTCAATGAAGTTTGTCTTATATGTATATATGTGGTTCTTGCAGGAGGGCGGCCTTGACATTGGTGGAGCCTCAACATGTAGGTCTTTGACAAATGGGATTCTTCATAATTCTATGTGTGTATTTTGTGGGTTGGGGGTTGCAGCGTTCCTCTGTTTATTTTGTGTGGGTTGGGGGTTGCAGCATTCCTCTGTTTATTTTGTGTGGGTTGGGGGTTGCAGCGTTCCTCTGTTTATTTGTGTGGGTTGGTCAAAAGACATTTCTTTAGCTCCATTTTCCTATAAAAAGTTCTGAAAAGTATAGTTGCATTAAGTCCTTTAAGTTCAAGTAACTTTAATGTTCCCACTGCAGAAACTCTAATTATTTCAGTTGTCTTTGCATTATTCATGCTTGAAGTGGTTAAATCTATTGGTACTATTGGCCAATGTGGTCGTCTATCCAATCCACTCTCTAGTTCTTTGGATATGATATTGTTAATCTTTCTTGTGTTACATTTTATCTCATCAAGCCTTGAATTTGGTTTTCAGGGGAAACGTGGTATCGAGAAACAGCCGTTTCAACTGCCTGACTTTATAGCTGCGACCGGAATTGAGAAAATTAGACAAGTATGACGAAATTTGTTCCATTTCTTCTTATATATTTCTTGCTTATATATTTCTTGCTGTGGTGGCCTTGTGAATAGGGATTTTTTTGTTGTATAAATGGAACTTAAACTAGATGTTGATGGAGCCAAGCTAGGACTTTCTGATGGTTTGTTGCAATTTTTTCTGAACTTTTAAAATACTTGCACTAAGAAATGCATTAAGAAATGAAAGCCTTCATTTCAGCAAGACATCTGATAATGAATGGATAAAGATAAGCATAATTCAACAAAGAGAAGATGCTACCTGGTACTTCCTTATGTTGACTTATCTTCATATGGACCTAACAACATAATTCTTTTAATTTGGAAAAAAGATAGGCTTCAATTATGTAGTAAACATATGCCAGAAGTATTTATCTGGAATGAGATGTTTAAATATCTTTTGTTTGAGAAGGTGCGGTATATGATCTTTTCTGCTAGTATGTTTATGCTTGACCTTGTTTTGTAATCTTATTTGTTCTTTTTGTGCAGGCTTACATTGAAAAGGAGGACAGTAAAAAGCTTAAACAAAAGCAGCGGGAGCGGATGCAGCCAAAAATGGGAAAGATGGATATTGATTATCAGGTTCCCAATTTTCCTTGGTTCCTTGTTGATACTGAACTGCAAAATAGTCCATACCTTGTCAAGTGCATGGATATTTCTGGTTAAATGTTGGTTGCTGTACTGTTCTGCTGAGTCTTTATATCATGTTATGTAGGTTCTCCATGATGCCTTTTTTAAGTACCAGACTAAACCAAAGTTGAGTAGCCACGGGGATCTGTATTACGAAGGAAAAGAGTTTGAGGTACAGAATTTTTCTTTGACATTGTTGAATGGTCATATGCTTCTTTCATATCTAGCTTGCATACAACTTTGGTCATTCTCAGCCGTCTGGTATTTCATCAATTTCTTGAGAATAAAAATGAGACAGTTTTTATTGATGTACACTTTTAGATTAAGATGTTTGATGGTGTTGGTTGCATTGGCTATACCAGTGTTTAGATTTTCTTTTCCACAGCTGCATCATCTTTTGATTTCTATATGCAGGTGAAGTTGAGGGAGATGAAACCTGGGACTTTTTCTCAGGAACTGAAAGAGGCTCTTGGTATGCCCGAAGGCGCTCCTCCTCCTTGGCTTATTAATATGCAGGTAAGTTGGCATAAATTTTAAGTTCTGTTTTATTGGATGTGGTCATTTTGGTCCCCTTAAGTTTCTTGTCGTCTTGCTAGATAGTTGGGTTTCGTTGCTAACACTTTCCAACTCACAATTGTCTTTGGCAGAGATACGGTCCTCCACCTTCATATCCTCAATTGAAGATTCCCGGTCTCAATGCTCCTATTCCACCAGGAGCCAAGTTTGGCTATCAGCCTGGAGGTTGGGGTAAACCACCTGTTGATGAAGTAAGATTCTGAAACCTTTCAGTTTATTGGAACCTTTTACATTTTGCTCATCACATTGTGAAGATGGTGTTTTGTTGTAATTATTTATTATTCTCAACATTTCTCCCTATTTTGTTTGAAATAGTATGGGCGCCCTTTATATGGAGATGTCTTTGGTGTGGTGCAACAAGACCATCCTAATTACGAGGTATTCCCACTTGTATATTGTATTTGCTGGAGTTGTTTCTTTCTTTAAGTAAGTTCTTGGAGTAACATTTTGCTTCAAGGTAGTTCCAGGCCAGCTGAAATAACAAGCATTACCTATGAGAACATGTATGTTTGGAAACACACCAATTTGAAGTTTGTGAAACTTATTGTAGGTGTTGGTAACCATGAAAAATATCTAAGCATCTCATTAATGAATGCTTGATAGTTCTTTTTAAACAAAAAATTCAAGTATGTGGTCTTTGTAATTGCCATAGCCAGTGTTCTTAGATCCTATTTTTGGTTACGTTTGTCATGCCATTTATGGTCATGCTTAGGATGAACCCGTTGATAAGACTAAGCATTGGGGTGACTTGGAGGAAGAGGAAGAAGAGGAGGAAGAGGAAGTGGAAGAAGAGATGGAGGAAGATGAGTTGGAAGATGGTATTCAGTCTGTGGACAGTCTTTCGAGGTATCACTTGATCCAAACTTTTAACACCATACAATATCTGTAGAAAGCTTTTATTAGCTCAAACTGCCCCTATTCCCCTAATTTTCAGTTCTCCTTTCTAAACCGAACATGCACTGTGGAAGCAATACTTAAATTCAACTTCATTTGAGGTATCATTTCTCAATGTGTTTGTTCGTTTGTATAGTACTCCAACTGGAGTTGAGACTCCCGATGTTATTGACCTTCGGAAGCAGCAGAGGAAGGAGCCTGAGAAGCCTCTCTACCAAGTAATAGCACTATATGTGGCCTGCTATTTTTTGCATTCCAATAGACACATATTTTCTCCTTGTCAAAAATCTCACTACCATCTACTTGTTTGTTAAGGTGCTTGAAGAGAAAGAAGAAAAGATAGCTCCAGGAACTCTTCTTGGAACAACTCATACGTGAGTTCATGTTTAAACTTGTGCAGAAGTTGTATCAGGCACCTCTCTTTTTTCTCTATACTAACTCTTTTTACTTTGGCCGTACAGGTATGTGATTAACACTGGCACTCAAGACAAGACTGCTGCCAAAAGGGTAATGAAATCTCTTGTCCTCTCTCTTTGTTTGCTGCATTGACATGCTACTTCATGTGATCGTTGACTTTATGAACTGTTGAATGCAGAAAGCAATGACATTATGATTGTTCTGTTGTTAATTGTTATCCTTCATGTGAAATTCGTCAGAAGAGTGAATTGTTTTCATCCTACTTATGGGGTTGTTGAAACCCCACTTGTGAAGTTATATTATTGTAGTTTTCATGTGTTCATAGGATGGATTATTCTCTTCCTATTGATGGGATTATTGAAACCCCAGTTTGGACCATTTTCTCCCCAAGTATTTGATAGAAGCTTGCTGTTTGTGAACTTGGTGCTGTGATAGGAGGTTTTCGCTTGCAGTTCTATTTGGCTTTTATAATTATATTTTGCATCTGATTGTGCGATGCTTGTCAAAGCTGGAAAGAATGTATTGTCAATTGATATAACATAAAATGGTGCTTTTTAAAAGTATTTGTTAGCTGAATGGAAATGCATTAAATTGAAGACCATGATATGCCACATCAGTATATCATCTTTTCTCTGTGCCCGATTTCAGTATTTCATGATTGTTCCCTGTTTGTGCCAATTCTGTTATTGACCCTTCGATTAGAATTTTGTGGTAATTGCTTGAATTTTCCACTGCAGGTCGATCTGCTTAAAGGTCAGAAATCAGATAGAGTTGATGTTACTTTGGCACCCGAAGAGTTGGAACTGATGGACAATGTCCTGCCAGCCAAGTGAGTAGCAACACTAGTAACACTGTTCTGATTCAGAGGATCTCATATGAATTTTCCCGATTTTTGCTGAAATTTTTTTGTTCTGTTTTATAGATATGAGGAAGCTAGAGAGGAAGAGAAGTTGCGTTCTCAGAGAGAGGATTTCAGTGACATGGTAGCAGAGGTATGTTAACTATTTCATCTTTGCATCTTTATTACTCTTTCTCAGAGTCCTTTTGCGTTTCTTGTCGTAGTAAATCTCAATGTTCACTAGTTCTGACATTGATGAAACTGCTGCAGAATGAGAGGAAGAAGAAACGCAAGTTGCAGGAAAAAGATGGCAAGTCAAAGAAGAAAGATTTCAAGTTTTGAGGCGAATTTCGTGTTCCATCTTGCAAAGTTTATCAAAACACATAAAACGAAGCATAAACTATATCTTATATCAACCTTATATATGAATTATGATTTTTTTTCTTAAATCACAACATTTTTCATTTTTGTTTTCACCAAGGGTACTAAAGACATCTACATATGTTATGAATACATTGAAAAGATTTGCCACTATGATCATCACAATGAATTGGTTGAAGTTTACAGCTAAAATCATTCATGCAGAAGAATCTGCGGTCGCAGATACAATAACGCTTATAACATAATGGTTCAACCTTATGTTCAGCGTTACGACATATTAAGTCACAGTCACTATCCTTGCCACAATGCATAAACACAACATTTCTTGGTTCCACTTCATGTAATAATATACCTGTTATATCAAATTTCATATAGTTAGATTACATATATTATATATAAATGTGCTTTTTAACTTGACTTCATTTGTGTCATTTATGTCGTCCAACTTTGAACATGTAGACACACTTGTCTTGTGCGACATAATATACATAGAATGTCACGTAGGATGTGAATTTTTCATGTTGCATAGGACGCATGTGTTTAGTGTCTACTTATGCATACTCAAAATTAGAGGGCATAGATGTCATGTGAGACTAAATTAATAAATATTATGCCTGAACAAAAAGAAAGACTTAAAAATATAAAGTAAGGTTGTGTTCGGTAGAGGAAAATAAGTATGTTTCTTATTTATTTGCTTTTGTTTGGTATTGGTATTATTGGTGGAGCTATTAATTTGGTGAAAGGTGTGTAAATTTCCCTTTTTGTTTAATTATGTTAATAAGGGTGTGAAAAAGTAAATATATATACTCATAATAACTAAGATTTAACCTATGTATATCATATAATTAATTTTCAGCAAAGGGTGTGCATCCGGACATGTATGGTATGTAAGTGAAAAATATTATCTAAAAGCATTTGTATAGAATCTAGAAAAATACTATGAGAGGTGCGGTGGCAGAATGACGACTACGAGGGTGAGGATGAAGATGAGATGTGTTAGAGGGTGGAGTGAACACAATCAATAATATATGAGGAATGCCACATGTGGAAGTCATTTTCATTCTTGAATCCTACCTCGTAATAAATGAATAAAATTACATTCCGGAGAGGGACATAAAACCTAATCTCTACAAACAAAAAAAAAATCATTTCTAAGAAACTTGTTTTTTCTATTTATATAGAGCATCTTTCAAAAAATTGATCAAACAAACATGAAAATCGAACATTTGACAAATATTTTCCTCCATACTGAACACATCCTAGGACCAACAAACATTGTAATCGTATGAACAAGATCTTTTTTACATTTAATTAGAGGCATCAAGTTCAGAATTATAAGAAAGAAAATAAAATTCTGATAGAGAATGTTTCCCCCTTCAATATAAATGTGAATTAATGCTCACTAAAAGGTGAAACACCTCTCTATCAATATTTTCTTTATCTTCAAATTCGAAACCTCTAATCAAAAATTAAAAAATCTCCTCATCTCACTACAACAATCCTAGGGAATAATAAGTTTGCAAAAGAAGAAAGAGTAATTACTTGAAAAAACCAACAAAAGGAGAAGAGAACCAATTGTATTTGGATACATATTGTGTTGCTGCTTGCTGGCTAATAATTAATACTAATATTATATATAGTGCAACATTTTATTATATAATATTTAGTATAGTGTGTAATTAAAAATTAAGAATAATTAATAAGTTCTAATCCAAAAAGTCTAATTAATTGTTAAACATTTCGTAAAGTAAACTCTAAAGAACAAAATGCATGGTTTGTGTTTGTTACAAAGGAAAACAGAATATTTTTTTTATAGAAAATGTTTTCCTAAACTATCACACTTTTTATTTATACTAAATGGTTTTTAGAACATAAATTTATATGATTTATTTTAGATTTATAAGTTTCAGTTTTTTCTTTTAAAAAATTCACATCCAGCTAAATATTTTTACGTAAATTTGGACGGAGGGAATACTTCAAAAACTTCAAATTTGATCATTCAAAATTGCATGGTCAAACGTCTGTTAATATTAACCTTACATATATATGTTGTGCATTTTTTTAGTCACAAGTCACAACTTGTTCTCTTTTGAGATTGTAATTACTAATTCGGTCATATTTATTTATCAACATGATCGAAATATACATGGTCACTCACAGGGCGCGACATTGACACGTGTAATCAATACATAGGGGACCATTTTCATAACAGTAAAATCCTTTAACAGAACAAGTAAAATCATCTTCACAGAAAAATTGTTTGTTGCAAATACATTGGCTCTTGTAGCAAAAAGGTTCAAGCTTATAATAATCTTCTTTTTCACACATAAAATCACAGTCACTGTCACTGTTGCAATGCAAATACACACCATTTCTTGGTTCCACTTCATATAATACACCTATAACAAATAAGAACACAAAAAAAAGATTAATACTGATCGAACTGTAATTGAATGAATAAGATCACTTTATCATTAATAGACATTTTAGATCAGATTGTGATAGGATAAATAAGTCACTTTATCATTAATAGAAGTTTTGGGTAAAATTTTCGGGACAAAAAAAAATCTTGAAGTAATTAATAGTGTTTGCTGATGACTTTTCAATCTTGTAATTGAAAATTAACTACTATAGCGAAGTTTGAAATTTTACATTTGAAATTCCATGATAATATAATGATATTTCAAAATACATTATATTAACTATTTATTTTAATTACAAGAGGCTGAAAAGCATTGCCCTTTTGATTGACCTTAAGGGGTCGTTTGGTTTGAAAATGAGTTATGATGGGATAAGTTATGTTGGGATAAGTTATGTTGGGATTAGTTATGATGGGATACGTTGTGTTGGGATTATTTTTTATTGAGTGTTTGGTTTGTTGTATTCAAAATAATAAATTTTAAGAACAATTTATTTGTTTACAAAAATGCCCTTCATTAATGTAAAAAGTGATATAACAAAAGGGTTGAAAGAGACATTTTTGTCATTTACCTATTTTATCCCGGGATAAGTTATCCCGGGATTACTATACCACCCAAGGAGAGGGATAACTTATCCCGGTACTAATTATTAATCCCGGGATAAGTTATCCCGAACTTGCCAACCAAACAACAAAATAAGCGGTACTATAATTTAATCCCGGGACTATTTGTTATTATAACTCACACCAAACGAGCCCTAAGTATGTAAATTCAAATTAGTTGAGCCAGTAAATTATGAGTACCTTTGATTATAAAAAAATAAAAAACATAAAAGAATAGGAAAGATGAAAAAAGAGAGGAAATTAAAGCTATATTTTGTTTTTATATATAAATACTCTTTTTATACATAGGGTATAGGGGAGGGGGATTATTAGGTGAATTAAACCCTTATCGATAAAGAAAAAATTTAGATAACCAATCAACTGAGTTACTAAAATCTTTGGAAGAAAACTATATAATAATTATGTCAGTTGCATGAATAAAACGTTTTTTCAAAAAAATAAATGAATTGAAATTATGGTGAAGTGGTAATTACGAGAGGCAAAGTCGTCACTATAGGTGTGAATTCAATCGAACTCGATGATTTTGATTCAAATCTTATTAAGCATTAGAAAAAGGATTTGTATCGTTATATGTATAATAATTAATCTATTCAGAATCTAGGTAGAAAAAATAACCTTGATTCTGAATTCATCAACTATTTTTTTTTTTGGCTCCGACTCTAGTAAGTACTCTTTTATTTTGCAACAAGATCAGGTTTCAAATTTGAATTCTAGAAACAAATTTATCTTTTGTGAAAGGCTCTTTATCTCAATAATAAAAGTTTTTAACACGAATTCACATTAATTGAACTTCAAATCAAATATCGAACATTAAATAAAAAAAACTCTCAAAAAAACAAAATAAAAAATAGATAGATATATTTAGAGATCTAGAGGGAAAGAGAGTAACCAACTGAAAAAATCAACAAAAGGAGAAGAGGAACTATCATATTTGGAGTCATAATATGTTGCTGTTTTACAACTTATTCATATGCACTTGTAATATATATAAAAGCAACATTAATTGTGCCTAAATAAATATAATTAATAAATGATAATCCAAAAAGTCTAATTAAGTTAAACATTACGTTAAGTACATTCTAAACAACAAAATGCACCCATGAGAAGTAAAATATTTTCCTTAAAATTTCCTATTGTCATTTCTCTTAACAAAAAAAAGAAAGTAAAACAATTACAATTTGTGAAATATATCCATTGAAAACTATATGGTAATCAATATTATTCATCACGTTTGTCACAACTAATGTTGATTTGTTGGAGTTTCGAGGTCATGATTATGTGTTTTTTTGGTGTATATCATACTTAATAATTTTCCTGAATTTGATTGACGTACTCCAATTGACTTGAAATTTGAACAGTCCTTTCGAAATGATCTGGTGATCAATACTCACTATATTCGTCATGACTATCATTTTTTTTTTTAGCATTTTGGGATCATGAAATACTAATTCATTATTGTAGGCATCTTTTGTGTGTATTAATACATACTAATTTTCTTGAATTTGATTCACGGACTCTAATTATTATATTATTACATGAATTTTAACTTGTACTCACTTGTTAATCTAGTTAGTGATAAGTAACATATAGTAAATATAAAATTATAAATGATAGTTCAAAAAGTCAAAGTTAAGCATTTGGTAGTGTAAATTCTAAAAAATTAAATGCACACACTATATATCTTATCTTGAATTAATTTTCTATAGTTTGGGATCCTATTAATTAGATATTACTATAAACAATGTATGTAAGAAATTTGTGTTAAGAGTAGCATTTCTCTACACCACTTTTAACTAAACATGATAGAAAATAATCCAAGAAAGTCAAGTTAATTTATACATTTTGTAGGATAATTTCTAAAAAAATAATAATTAATGCATAATTTGATAATCTTATCAAAATTTAATGTCTTACAGGTCTAAGGGCTCGTTTGTTGGGATCAAGTTCTTTCACGATTAATTATTTTGGGACTAGTTATTTCAAAATTGTTATTTTATTTTCAATATGAAATAAAAATAACACTATAATTCTGTGATAAGTTATCATGCGGTAGACAAGAGTATACCTATGTGAACATTTTACCTGGAACCCAACATGGAATAAAATATTGATCAAGTTATAAATATTTGTCAAATAAAAAAATATGTATTTTTTGGGAATAGACTAAAAATAAAAGTATATGATACAAATCTTTTCGTCTCGTCGAATCATTGACTCTGATTATTAGGTTGATCCAATCCGATAATACTCTTAACATAATATGATATCGCAAATGTCATTAAGTAGAGAACATGTTATATGATGGAGATTTGTGATGTATGCTATTGAGTAGAATCAAAATGGACATTTGAAGTGAAGCCCACCAGGTGTTTGTTTTTTTGCCTAAATGAATTGCTTGATTTTCCTAGTTTTAATCAGCTCAATGTATGCATGTTAGAATGTAAATATTTTCTGCTTGCAGAAGTTATGTTGTTGGGATCCTTCAAAAATGTCGCCACACCTGTGTCAGATCCTAAAATGTGCATATCTTTTTGAGGATACGACACATACTGGGGGATATTTTATAAGAGTCTGAGCAACATAGACTTTTAGAATATGATAACTTATCAACAAAGTGTATATAAACTTCAATATTATTGAATAATCATTATTTTGGTACTAATGTGATAGAAGTGCATGATTTTTCATACTTGAACTCAAATACAACATACACACTAATTGAATGTATATACATTGTTTTCACTTATAGTGTATTTTAACTTGTTGTAGCTGCATGTTACGTGCTTTATTCCAAGTTACTAGTTGACTTATTATGGACGATTACCTGTAGTTATCTTTTATGTTACACTATCAATGTATAGTTGTAACATGTGTATTCGTTTTTGTTCAACTAGGAAAAAATAATCAGTCTGCTGCTATAGCCATGCTACAAAATCAGTCACTAAGGTGTGATATATATTGTATGTATGAACAGTGGTAGGGTAAATTAAAGCTAGAGTTTAGCTCAATTTCTCCCCTCAGTCTAATACAAATAACAGTATTTCATCTAGCAATTCTCTCCTGGTATAAGCATGAACATTGTAGCTTATGAAGCATGTACAAGGCGCTTGCCAGGAATAGCATCAACATGCTGATTGCTCGATTGCAGCCTATATAGTGACTTTCTTTGTTTCCTTTTTTTTTCGTTTGGGAAAAAAATGGGCACCACCTAGTATACATCTAATGATGAAGGTCTGTCTCGATTACTTCAGCCAATTCTTTCGTTAACTTTTCTGCTCTCTCATCTTGTCCACCTGCAAAAGTATAGACTCTGAATGCAAATTGGAATGCCTTCCAAAGCTGTGTGGCTGATTCTTTTTTGCTCCCTTCATTTGTTGGTCCGGCTCCTTCTTTTCCCCCCGCCATTGCTTCTCTCTTTTCCTGATTCGACATTGCAACATTATTTCAAAAAATTGTTAACCAAATCCATTACGATGGTGGTTAATGTGAATGCCATGTAAACAGATGTAGAGAGTGTTGATCTGAATGGTGCTCTATGCATTCCATATAAACTTATCTATACGAGTTTAGAGATGTTCGAGAAGATTCTCAAACCTTATCGGCTAAGCATGCTTAATTTCGGAGTTCTGATGGGATCTAGTGCATTAGTGCTCGTATGAACACATCGTGACAAATCTACTCTATCTAAATACACATATTGAGATATACTTAAAATGCATTTCGAATTCATATCTTTGTATCAATTATTCACAAGATTTAGTATTAGAGTGATTTTGATTGTACTTACCTTCAGTGCAAGTTCCATACAGTTTGAGGAAACATCCACCATCAATTCTTTGATACGTACAAGGGCGCCGAAATCAAACTGAATTTTATGTGTTTTTAGTTTCTTGGATTCTTCATCTTTAGTCCTTTCTAGAGTGTCCACATCTCCTTTTATCTATATGAGAGAACTACTTGTTAGAACTGCAAACACGAAATAAAGCCATCGTGGGAAGTTTTGAGGTCCAGGGACTTAGTTTTTACCTTGTTGAAGTACCTCTCAGCTCTGGCAAGATGTTGGCCAACAGGCGAGGCCGGTTGCCAATTCTGTAAAGTAGAGACTATTGAATCTAATTTGGAATAGAGAGTTGCTGCCGTCCTCAACGCTTCCAACTTCTTACAAGGAAAGTCCTCAAATCTTGCTAGGACCTGTACCAAGAAAATCTTTAAGCCAACATCCTGAAATGGTTAATTATGACAAAAAATAAGAAATATAGAACGAACCTGAGATTCGTCAGTTAGTTTCTCAAGGTGGGATTCGACATAATTGTGGAATGTAATGAGCTCAGACATATCTGATGTATTGAAAGAAGCAATGGCCTTCTTCATCTCCGTGATTAGTTTTGCATGATTTTTAACATCCTCTTCAATTTGTTGGAAATATGCTGACCTGTGAGATATAATTCATAAATATAAAATATAAACATCATAGAATAAGTTGCCTCCTACCAAAATAATTACTCTTTCGTTACAATTTGTTTGTCTTACTTCCCTTTTCCGTCTGTTTCAAAAAGAACACCTTTTTCCTTTTTTAGCAACTCTTTAATTCTCAACTTTCCTCATGGTATGTTTAAGACCGCCAGATTAAAGAGCATTTTAGTAGTCTTTATTACTTTCTCAAACTCTGTGTCAAGTCATAACCAGAGGATATGATGAAAATTAGAATGAATTGTCTTAGTCTTTTGTACTTTTGGTGTAAACAAGATATGATGGGGGATATAGAACTTTTTGATGACTTCATAGGTAATTTGTAATCTCCCATAGGGTAGTTTGATATGCTCTGATGAGATTGTAAGTGACCTATGCTCATCATTTATTTGATGATGAGCCTTTTGTGAATACACAGTTACCTTTATCTCAAAAAAAAATAACCAGACAAACGAATTGAAACGGAGGGAGTATTTCAGATTTCAGGAAGATCACCTCTTTGTCATCTCAGCCAATGCATCAGCCATTCCTGGTTTACCTCCTTTTGAGGCATTAAATCTTCCCTTGCCTCCCTTTTGTTTACCATCTAAACTAGATCCTTCAACTTTCCCCTTAAGAGATCGATAAAGATTTCCCATTTGGGATGATCTTTTCAGTTTAGTGGCTGCTTTCTTCAGTCGTGGATTTTTGGCACCTGCGAAAGTTGGTGGTGGTGGTGGAGGTGCGCCTCCCTTTTTCGTTTGCATGGGTGGAGGTGGTGCTGATCTTGGCGATGGTGGATTTGCAGCTCTCTTTCCCATTGGCATTGGTGGTGGTGGAGGTGCAGCTACCTTTCCCATTGGCGTCGGTGGAGGGGGTGGTGGCGTTGCTCTATTTGATGCCTTTGGTGGAAGTGGATGTGGGGTTACCATACCCTTTAGTCCTTTGTGAGGAAAACATGGAGGTGGAGGCGGAGGTGGAGGTGAATGTACATTTTCTGATTTCCTGGGAGGTGGCGGGGGAGGACAAGGCACTGCTCTATTTTTTGATGTAATTGGAGGTGGTGGAGGTGGAGGTGGAGGTGTTACTGTGTTTCCTGATGTAACATGGGCTGGTGGTGATGCTGGTCCTGGCTCCTCGTTCTCACACGAGGAATCTGGTTGAGGTTCTGGCTGAGGTGATGTTGGTACTTGCGATTCTATGATTTTTGGTGATAAAATGTTTGGAGAAGGTGGTACTGATGATTGTTCTGTTACATTTGATTGCAACCTAGAAATTGAAGATGGAGGTAAGAGCACATCAAATGTAACGCGAGCTGGGACTGCTTGACCATTTGATGCACCGGTCCAGAATATTCCACCATTTTCCGATGCTTTCTCCAGGCTATTCAGTAGAATCTCCGGTAAGTCCATTAATTCACAATCTTGATTTGCTTCTGTATTTGACCCTTTTTCATCGACGCCGCTTCCTAGCTGAACTGAATAGCCTGAATCTTGATTTGCATTGGGGATCATGTGGAACGAGAGACGTCTTACCTCAATCGGGTTCTGGTTTCCAACAGCTTGAACCTTGAGTGATAGGAGAAGAGGGGAAGTGATAGAAGCCTTTCCATTCTTCTTTGAGGAATTGGTTATTATCTCAGGGAGGACTGAAGTTGGAGAGCTCGAAAGGGAGGAATTGTTGCTCGAGTAAATCTCCGAAAAATTCTTCTCAAATGCGTCAGGTGAAGGACTTGTTTCTCTCGTCTGATCATCCTCGTCCTCAGTCTCGTCCTCATGTTCATGCTCATGCTCAACCTCATCCTCATGCTCATGTTCTTCCTCATCCTCATCCGTCATCTCTGACACCCTTTCACTAGCTAACTTGATAATGTCGTCGAGCAATGCCAACACTACATAGGTAATATAAGAAAATCATTATAACTGCCTATCGAAGCGAAAAATACAACAACATGCTAGTGTAATCCCACAACTGGGGTTTTGGGAGGGTAGAATGTACACAGACCTTACCCCTACCTTGGGAGGCAGAGAGGTTGTTTCCGATAGACCCTCGGCTTAAGGAAAGCATATCAAACCAGAATGAAAAAGAAAAAACTAAAGTGAATGAATCCCTGCAAAATACTACAGAAAACATGACCAAGTATTCTGAAAAAGGAACAATAACTACACCAAAAATGTGCAATAATCAAAGTAGAATAAACAATAGATAGTAACAGAAATCGACAGACAAGAAACTACAGAGAGATGATCATACCATATTCAAAATCATTTAGTTTACTATGTGAATTCTCTTTACATGTAATCATCCACTCATCATTTCCTGTCCACATTTCCCCAATTGATTTCAATATATCACAAAAGCATCTCACTTTCTGAAAAAAACAGGGAAACTTTGGTGAGCTCAATAAGTTGTGATTTTGCTTATAAACAACAGTACTGCATATATACTAAAAATGCTCAACTTAGGGAGTAAATTACCTCATGTATTGATGTCCCATCTATTTTTGACAACGAAAAATTCGGATTGATCGAAGGGAACAGTTTATGTAGATCTCTCAGAGTTGATATCAACAGCTGTTGAAAAACATGGCCATGACAGAAAAAAGTTGGTTAAGGAGACACTTCTTGTTATTCTCTTCTGAAAATGGCATTGACAGTTAAGTGAGTAAGGTGACAGTATGTTGCTCGGACTCTTCAAAAATGTTGACGGGTGCGTCTGATCCTCTAAAAGTATTGCTTTCTGGAGGTTCCGATATAGGTGGCGAAACCAGGAACCTCGTGTGCTCAAGATTACGTATAGACAAACTACATAGATAGACACCTTATTTTGGCTTCAATTGACAACTAAATACTCCAACTTTGAGAATGCACATCATCTAGACACATCAACTCATCCCCACTGTTTCTCGTGGACACCCAATGTTGACGTGACACATAAATTTTGGAGGTGTCTAGATGATCATTTTGTAAGTACGACTGTTCAACTGACACCAAGGAGACTAGTTGAAGTGTTTATATGTGCATCCTCAAAGGTGGAGTGTTCACTTGCCAGTACTTGAGGCCAAGTTCAAGTGCCTTATCTATGTATTACGCCTTTAATATATATATACGAGGTGGTTTTTGACCTATGTACATAATATAATTTCTCGATGAAGGATGTTCACTGACTAACCCTTCAACTCTACGTAGCTAAGTTTGTTGTCGGTGCAACAGTATTTTTGGAGAGTTCGAGCAACATAACTGAGTGATTTAACAAGTGTTGACGACAAACTAACAGAAGAAGTCATATATGTACCTCATTTGCAGATTCAGAGCCATCACAAGGAGAAAGATCAAGCAAGTGTCTCAATGTGATGATCTTGTTTCTTATACCTGTCATTATTCTGAAGTTACTAGCCACCCCACATGAATTTTGAAAAGTTGGACTTCTTGTAATTGCTTTCACCCCATTTGAACTATGCATTCTGGGACTTTTTGGTGCTTTCACCACATTTGAACTTTGCAATCTGGGACTTTTTGGTGCTTTCACTCCACATGCATTGCGCGATTTGGAACCTTTGTTTGTTTTTGATCTTCTTGGTACCAACATGGAAGGTAATTTCTTTATTACTCTAGTATGTAATCTCCTAGTTTTACGTGTGTCTTCTTCCTGAAAAAAATAATATTGTTAGTAATGGTATTATAACAGGGAGATCTCCATTGATACGTCAAAATTCAACATGGGCGAGTTAAAAGGGAAGTTCAGTGCACAAAGCTCATGTTACACGCCAAGGAAGAGCCTGACCACATTGGATCTATTGTACTATCTTTTTGAAATGTCATTCATCAATTTATATGTTAAGGGATGCTTCGTACACAAACCTCTCACTATGCGCGAGGAAGAGTCTAACCACGTTGGGTTTATTGTAGGTATCATTCATCAATTTATAATATGTTAAGGAAAGGTTGGTGCACAAAGTTTCTATTATGCACGAGAAAAAACCTTAGACCACATTGGGTCTATTGTATTCAGGTTTACATTACATTTCTATAAGAATTTTATTTTTTTTCAACATGTGACCTCTTCGTTACATGGCAACAACTCTTCCTGTTGCGCCGAATAATATTCTCTCACCTCATGGTCAAAGTTAACTTTCTTTGATTTCCATAGAGGTCCCCAATATGGTTTACACAAAAGATTTCCATAGAGGTCCCCAATAAAATGAATAGAAAAATTAACACATTTATGTTTGCATTTTGCATGCATGAACAATATTTTGGCATAATGAAAAATGCAATATTATGTTTTTCTTTTCTTCTTCATATAATTAAACAAACATTCTCAATATACAAACATGTTTTTATTATCATTACAAATTATATGAAAAAATATAGAAAAAAAATTACCTTTAACAAAGAAGGTTTCCTGCGGAAAATGAAAGGAACAACACCACAGAATACCCCGCTCGCCATTTTCAACGAGTAATAATAAGTTACTTTTTTTCGGGAAAAGGCTTTTCGAAGAAAAATTAGGAAGAAGAATTAACGTTAAAAAAATTTCAAATTCCTATGACCAAAATTTATGTTTTGGTAATAGAAATTTTAATTAAAGATGTTTGGGAAATTGTTGAAAAAAAAGAGATTTTTGCCTTTAGGCTTTTGAGGGAAAATTGGCTATTCCAAAATCATCTTTCATGAGGACAAAAAAAACTTTTTTTCTTTCTCTCCTTCGTTTCCAAAAGAGAGAAAAAAGAAAGAAAGCAAAAAAGGTTCATTAATTATGTGGAAAAAAAATTATTGGTTTTTTTTTTTTAGGCAAAAATAACCATTAATTTTGTCCTGGGGTTAAGTCATTTTTAAGTAATTAAAAAAATTAGATAAATGGATATTTAATATTATTCAAAAATTATTATTATTATTATTATTATTATTATTATCTTTATTATTATTATTATTATTATTATTATTATTATTATTATTATTATTATATTATTATTATTATTATTATTATTATTATTATTATTATTATTATTATTATTATTATTATTATTATTATTATTATTATTATTATTATTATTATTATTATATTATTATTATTATTATTATTATTATTATTATTATTATTATTATTATTATTATTATTATTATTATTATTATTATAAGATGTGATAAGATTTGTGTTGGATGGATCTTTTGCATGGATGGAATTACCATGGTTAGAGTCGGATTTAAGGTTTTAAATTTGATGAGTTTAATCTTTATATTAGGGGTTGTTTGGTTGATGGTTAAGAAGTGAATTATTCATGTATTAAAACGAACATAATTAGGAGTAACATGTTTAATGGTGGCATTTTAGCTGTTACGTATAAAATTCAGTATATATGACTTCGATTATCGATTAAAAAGATTTATGTATTATTTTATGTTGGATAGAAAATGAAATAACTAACACATAAATTAGTAATGCATAAATAAGTACCTTGCATAACTAATCACTCATTACTAATACATGCATAACTCTAATTAACCAATAAATAAACGACAAGAAAAGGTATTCAGTAATCAAGATATATTATGAATTTAGTGGTAAATTAAAAATCCATAAATTTCAAATTCTGACTTCACCATCAACCAGTATTACTGACAATTTTTTTTTAACCTGTATATGATACAAAAGTTTCAAGCTGAATTTGTAGTTGTCACGAAAATGTTATAAATACATCAGATCTCTCTGTTATATATAATTATTTTCTATAACAATAATTCATTATCCAAGTTCCTTTGGAGTCGATTTCAATGTTATATCATATTACATGTTCTCAATGACAACATTTTGCTATAACAATCATAAAATATCCAAACAAATACAACGTTATAGAAAAATTGATTAAATGACTATTTTGCCCTTGGTAGAATCCTATCCTTGAAGGCCTCCACAGTCAATCCTTTCTCCAAATAAACAATATTTGAGGGGTCAAATGGTCCTTTTATTCTGTCTATGCATTTGATCACTGCCCTTGCTGGAAGCAAACTTTTTGATGGATCTGGACTTGTCCCATAACTCAAGCATGATGAAAACCCCTAAAAATAATAAATAGCATAATTAATCAAATATCCATATGGACAAATAGCAACAAAATACTAATTATATAATATATATATATATATATCATCAGACATCTCTATAATAACTACACAATATATTTTACTCTAATCCTTAAGTTTTCTTTAGAATCGATTTTTATGTTATATTACTTTCTATAACATCATTACTTTATAACATATAAAAGTATTAGATATTTTCCTTTTTAGTCAGTTTTAAAAAAAATGACACATTTTCTTTTGATACAATCAAATTTTATCTATGTTGGACCCTCACTTATTTGGTAAAAATCCGTAAAGACGTACTCTTTTTAAGGGTAATTTTGAAATATTGCAAAATCTCATTTCATCATATTTCTTGAACTTTGTATTTAGTCAAATTAAATTATGAAATTGAGACGGAAAAAATAATTAACTATGGTACAAAGTATCTAAAATTTTAGCCATTGAAGTAAAAAAAAATTTAAATTTACCTTGAAAATTAGAATTTCAACATCTTCCTCATCTACAAGAGCTTTCACAAGAAGAGCTTCATTTCTCATAGATTGACTATAAAACTCTAGCATTGCTAATTCCGAATTGTTATTATCTTCTTCTTCATCATCATCATTATCGTATATAATTCTTCTCCTTGCACGGCAAAGCACGATTGCCAAAGACCTTCTGACAGTCGATTTATGAGAAGTGATAAAGGAGGAGGATTGCGGAAGACTGACAATAGTTTGAATTGAGTTGGAATTATGGTTGGGAAAATAGTATGGTAAAAGATAAGGTAAGCATTGTGAATTATTGCATTGGAATACTATTCTATGGTTCAACATGTTAGCCATAGGATAATGTACAAAAGGATGAGGTCCAAATTGGAGGAGCTCATTATAAGCCACTTAATTTTTATTTTGGGGATAAATAATGTTTTATAGGGAATAAATTTATACTTTAATATCGTATATAGTATTTCATAAGCTATGTTTTATGTATTAATTATAACAAGGCATAAGTTTAATTTTTAGGAGCAAAATTAAAAACCAGTCCATTAAAAGGATAAAATTGTGCAATTTATTCTTCGATCTTTAAAAGGGTGAATTGCACAAATATATTTGTTTTTTTTATTGGGGGAGATTACTAATATAAAAATTAATGACTACTTTCACAACTTGAATCGATAACTTATTCAATTACATTGATAAAATAGTGGTTATTTCTGAATTTTGTCTCATTATTTTGTCCATTGTATTCATTAGTGATACAGAATTTGCAAGCCCGTATATCAATGCTGAAACAAGCCCAAGAAAAAAATGCCCAATAGTAGAATATATCAATTTTTTTATTATTTTTTTTTACAAAAATTTATAGTGTTAAGAGCTAAGTACATTTTATCTCTATTTCTTTTTCTAAATTACAAAAAGTTCTTAAAATTATAGAATCTTGAATACATCAGAAAACCTGCGGATATACAACTCACAGATGTATCCGAGAGGGTAGAGATGTAGCTCATGGACGTATCTGAAAGGGGGAGGGATGTATTTGGAGGGGGTAGAGATGTATCTAAGAGGGGAGAGATATATCCAAGAGGGGAGAAATGTATCCGATATGGGATATGAATGTATCCGAGAGAGGATAAAATTGTATTCGAGAAGGAATTTTATAATTTTTTTAAATAATAAGAAATTTTAGGTGCATTTATGTAATTTTTTCAAAGAGTTCCTAACTCTATTGAGCATCCACAACTATAGGTGGACATTTGGATAGTTCAAATTGAATATGAAAATTTTGGTTAAGATATTCAACTTTCTAATTTAAAAATCCAAGATCCAATTCCAATTTAAATAAGTTTGGATTGGATTGATTTTCATTAACTTTGGTTTTGAATTAATGGATTTTGATTATTTTGGATTTTGAGTCTATAAAGTCTAGTGGATATTCATATTTATGTCAATTTCCTTAATAAATTTTCATTCTCCCCACAATTATTATCCAAATAAATATTTATTCAAATAATGAAATCGTTATCAAGGAAATCTTTAATCTAAACAGGGCAAAATTATTTCTTAGATTGGATCATACTACTAATAGCCCTATTTCCAACATAGCGAAAAATTGCAAGCAACAAATTACTTATACTCTTCCGTCTCAATTTACGCAATATACTTTTCAAATTGGAGAATCAAACGAGTTATTTTTACCACAATTATTTCATATGCCTTCTAAATACTTTGTATTTTTAATTTATTAATTATGGATTATAGCCGCCAGGCTAGACATACGGGAATCGTCGAAGAAGTGCCTCAACGCGCCGCAGCGAGGAGCAGAGTTAGGTGGGGGGTTCGGACGAACCCAGTAGCTTTTCCATAGACCCTATGTTTGTATTAGAACATTATATATATATATATATATATATATATATATATATATATATATATATATATATATATATAACTTATGAACTCCTTAACAAAGTTGAATGATGGCTCAACACTACAACAAATGTGATATTTAGCTACACAATTATTAGGTACGATACTAAATTCGTCACTAATTATTCACTTTTTGTGACAAAAAATGTATGTCGTGTTTAAATGTATGAGCACAATACTTTTAGTGACGAAACATACAATTTCGTAGCAAAGTTTTGTCCATTTAAGTTTCCCACCAAAAAAAATTTTGGCACCATTTATTAAGTACTATTAGTGACACATTTAAGTTATCAACGACAACTTATTTTGTCACTAATAATGCATCCAATTTGTGACAAATTATTATTTGTTTTAGATGAGTTATAATTTTGGACACGAATAAATTTTGTCACTAAAAATAAGTTATTGCAATAGCGACAAATTTAAATTTATAGTCAAATGCTGTAAGCTTTAGCCACAAAATTTATATTTAATTGCTATCTAAATTTCTGTCACTAATAATATAATCAATTAGCGACAAACATTTACTTGTCTCTAATTAACTTGTGACTTAGTGACAACATAGTTTTGCCACATAATATGCAATATTTAAATAGCAAAAATTTAAAATTTGCAGCTCAATAATTTAATTATTTTCTAATTTTTTTTAGCTAAATATAAAATAATATTTGATTAGGCTTATTATTTACAATTGCAAGTAGCAACTAACGAATATTTCTTTAAAGCGTTCTCTATAGGTAACAACAAAAGAAAACTATAGAATGATATAATGATAACGTCGAACTATACCTTGAGAAAATTCAAGTGTCGATGCTAACATAAAATCTAATGTGAGTGGGGATTGTGATATCACAGAGCAATTATACAAAAGATAACATCGACACTAAGTCTATTTTGCAAAAGTTATAAATATTTTATGGATATTTAATTAACTATGTTCTATAATGACTGAAAATAAGTTTAATTGTGGAGGTCTTAAGAACCCCAACTATTTGATTATAATAAAATTATGATGTTCGAATTTTGATGCATATCTAAATATTAAGATGTGTATTTTGATCTAGATTTATAAATTTAAATATGCATCTCTATTGAGATGGTTGTGAGTGTAGATACCCTATTTTGACCAAAGATATTTAAAATTAATTAATCAATTATTTTTCTTTAACTTAATTAAGTTTCTTGAATTTCAAACAAAGTGAAATAACTATTTATAAATGTCAAAAATATTTTTTAAAA